AAATGCGATCCAAGCATTTATTAACCTACTTGGATAGACTGTATATTTCTTTTGTGGAAGTGAATGAATTACTATAAATCTCATAGTTCAGCTATGAGCATAGTTCTTGTCTCTGTGTACAGCTTTCTTTTTTTATTGGTAGCAGTGCTCACAGCAATGCACTGACTTCCACCTAAGTGTCTAAGATGACATTTGGAAATGCCCTCCTTGGATTCTGGTGGACTGCCCTTATTTTTCTGATGTAGCAAAATCTGATGCTCCCATGCAAACTCCACCTGAGCTCATAGTCTCACCATCATCCTGTTAGTTATCTGTGCTCAAAATTCTCCTGAGCCTTTGCAAAGCCAAGCCACAGTTTTCCCCTACTCTGCCATCGTCCTGGCAGGTAGAGGCAGCCACAACAGAACTGCTCTGCTATTGCTCATGCTCCATTGGGCCTTGCCTGTCCCTCTGCCATAGTTCTCTTCCTTAGAGGAGTTCTTGGAGTCAATCACAGCTTTAGTGCAAGACTTTTGGTTATCTCTAGGAGCTTCATTACTGGAAAATCTTCCTCTCCTTGTCAAGTGTCAGTCCTGGCTTGCCCAGCAACCTGTGAGCTTTTTGCTTTGGCTTCAAACCCTCACACCTTTTAAAAAACTTTATTTCTCATCAGAGACTCTGTTGAACTCCCAGGATCATCCAGAGAGCAATACCAAGCTCTTTTGTAGCGTCTGCCTCTCTCCGTCACCTGGATTAAAAACCAACTCTGAAACATTTTGGGTTTAGGTGGCAGACAGCTCCGTTGCTTTCTGTGTTAGGCCTCTAGAGTTAACTCTGTCCAAGTTATCAGAGGTGGCTGTCCTGTCCTTACTGAGGCCCTGTCACATACCATCATGTGTACAAAAAGCCCACTTGGGGCAGAGACCACCTCCGAAGGTGAATACACAAGAGCCCTGTGCCTCTCTGCACACCCCAACTGCTGTCCCCACTTTGGGGGAAAATGGTCACCTCCTAACCAGGACTTCCCTGTCCTACTGCTGTCTTGAGCATCCAGTCACCACCAAGACTCTGCTCAGCCTCTGCTTTCCCAAGGCGCCTAAATTTCGTGTAGGCTGGCACTTCCAGCCTATTATCTTCCACAGCTCCCCCTGAAAAGGAACAGGGGTCCTTACCCTCCTCAAGCCTTTGAGCAAGGCTGTGACTGTGCTCTCCTCCCTTTTAGGAAAGGGCCCCCAGCGGCGACCAGGAAGCCCTTCTGGGCTGGGTCTCTGGAAAACTGCCCTGCTGAGCCAGTTCCAATTTGTATAAAATCCGTCAATATTCATGAGGGCAGGGAGCCCATTGAGCTGGGTTGACAAGGTGAATACATTAACCACCTGTTTGTTCCTCCAGCCTCGCTCTTCCTTCACCACAAGGGTTCTCTCCTTGTTTTGAACAAAAAAAGCAACACTCACAGGATCTCAGAGCTCAGTGCTGTCTAGTTCAAAGTGGAACCTCCTGTGGTCCTGCCCCATGTTGCTTGAAGAGGGCATGCTGTGGGTGTCTGGGCCCCATCAACACCTTGGCCAAGGAAGCTATCAGGAAAGATCAAGCTCCAGACTTAGCCTTGGGGTGGGTGGACATGGAGGTCTCTTGAGGGCCCTTCTGCTTTGGAGCTGTGGTTCAGGAGACCTGGGACCAAGCCAAGCAGGTTGTGGTGCAGAGCTGGATATCAGGAGAATATTACAGTGACAGATGTCAAGCAGGAGAGGCACTTACTTCTGGTTTAGAGTTAGAAACTACAGTTTCTAGGAGAAAAGAAACTAAATGCTGGTTGTCTTCTCAGCATTTCTAGGGAACTGGTAGAGTTGGGTGATGAGGGCTTTTTTCCCTCTCTTTCTGGCAAACAACGCATTTGTGGAAAACTGCACCTTTCTGCAGGTGAATAACTCTTGCACACTCAGGTATTCAGCAAGGATTCAGAAAACCCCTGAGGTTACATGTTTGGAATTAGGAAAGCACTGAAACCTTCTGATCTATTAATTGATAAAGAAACCCATTTAATTTCCATGCTGCATAAACTAAGCTTTAAAACCAGCTTTTCGCTCTGAAACTGGCAAAATAAAAGGAGTAAGAAAGGACAAGTGAGAGTAAGAAAGGACAAGTGACCAAAATCTATCATTTCACCACTCTTGCCCTCACTGAATTTTTTACATCAGTTTGCTTCAAACCAAATTCCTTATACTTTATTCTTACAGCAACAATCAGTTCAAAGGCACTACTATTTCTTTAGCTCTGTGGTTTTCTCAAAAGAGCTCCTTTGGTAAGGTCTGGCTTTCATGCACCCCACTCAGATGCATCTCACTTCCCTCTTGGCTTGCAATCAGCTGTCTGATTCATAGAACCATAGACTGGTTTGGGTTGGAAGGAACATTAAAGCTCATCCAGTTCCAACCCCCTGCCATGGGCAGGAGCACCTTCCACTAGACCAGATTCAAGGCCCTGTCCAACCTGGCCTTGAACACTTCCAGAGATGGGACATCCACAACCTGACATCTCCTTGCTGCCCACTGTAGAGTATGGCAGAGCCAAACCCAAGCCCTTTTTGTTGATTCAATCCAGAGTTTCTCCCAAACACAGCATGAGGGCTTTCGCTGAAAGACCTTTTTCAGCAGAACTCACCTTTTGCAATACATTTGCATAGTGCTTAAATAATGGGCTCAGGTGAAAATAGAAATAATTGTTGTTGTTATGGCTTCTATCTCAGGTGAAGGGATCAGAGCAGGGCAGAAAAGTGTCATGTTGTGGTGGTGATAATCAGCATAGGAAAAACTGGGATAATTTCTACTGGAAAACATGTGTGAGAGCAACTCCAATGAGGTGCTGTACTCCATTGCTTTCAAGTTTATCAAAAACATGATCATTCTCTCAGCTGTGCTGTCCCATTCTGTGACATTAATGGCAGGACAATTTAAAGCTGAAAGAATCTCCTGGCACAGTATGTAATTTGCCTGGGGAAATTAGTTTCAAAAAGGATCAGAAAGTTGAATACTATTGCTGAGCTTAAAAGGAAGGCGAATAATTTTATAGCCAAAATATTATTTTTTTATGATAAATTATGTAGAACACAAGAGTAATAAAATGTCATGTTCCAGGGTATAAAACAATCCCTGTAAAGGTCAGGAAGCACTTCTAATGTACATGCACATCACTGCACATTAGTCCAAATGCATTCTAATTTGTTTGGACTTTGTGTCCTTGATTGCGCATGATACTTTTCTCGCCTGCAGTTCCTCAACACCAAACACCTTGTTTGCTGGACAGAGAAACCTCTCCCAGCTCTTTCAGATTATTGCTCCGTTTCTTTAAGCATGAAGCTGAGTTATTTTTGTTCTGCACACTACTCCTGTTCTGTACTTGCAAGACTTGACACACTGTAAGGTCTTGGTAGATCACCCTCTGATTTGTGACTCTGCAATTTTGCTGTTACAACACTGTGTCTAATTACAACAGGATTAACTCTTCAAACCAACCTATCCACCTTATGCATGCTGTTCACTTCCTACAACGCTGAATTCAACAGGTTGGCTGTTAATGTGCACAGCCATATACATGCACTCTCTCCTCAGATGATCTTAGAATCACAGAATCATAGAATAGTTAGGGTTGGAAAGGACCTTAAGATCATCAAATTCCAACCCCCCTTGCCATGGGCAGGGACACCTCACTTTAAACCATATCACCCAATGCCTCATCCAACCTGGCCTTGAACACTGCCAGGGATGGAGCATTCACAACCTCCCTGGGCAACCTATTCCAGTGCCTCACCACCCTAACAGGAAAGAATTTCCTCCTTATATCCAATCTAAACTTCCCCTGTTTAAGTTTTAACCCATTACCCCTTGTCCTATCACTACAGTCCCTAATGAAGAGTCCCTCCCCAGCATCCCTATAGGCCCCCTTCAGATACTGGAAGGCTGCTATGAGGTCTCCATGCAGCCTTCTCTTCTCCAGGCTGAACAGCCCCAACTTTCTCAGCCTGTCTTCATATGGGAGGTGCTCCAGTCCCCTGATCATCCTTGTGGCCCTTCTCTGGACTTGTTCCAACAGTTCCATGTCCTTTTTATGTTGAGGACACCAGAACTGCACACAGTACTCCAAGTGAGGTCTCACGAGAGCAGAATAAAGGGGCAGGATCACCTCCTTCGACCTGCTGGTCACCCTCCTTTTGATGCAGCCCAGGATACAGTTGGCTTTCTGGGCTGCAAGCGCACACTGAAGCCGGCTCATGTTCATTTTCTCATCGACCAGCACCCCCAGGTCCTTCTCTGTAGGGCTGCTCTGAATCTCTTCTCTGCCCAGCCTGTAGCTGTGCCTGGGATCTTGTCACTTGTTTTTCTGTTTCCTTAAGCCAACAGCAGATAAGGCTTAGGAAGAGAAACTCCCATTTTTCCTGCTGTTCTTTCTACCCCACATTAGCCATTAAAGCTACCCCAGCCTTGTGCTCATCAGGAGAGTGGAGCCAGAGCAGCTCCACATCACCCAGCCTGGAGGTCTCGCCATCATCATCCTGGAGCAGTGCTTGACAAACTACCACACCTCATCTCAACCCCCAACTCCACCATATCCAGTGTATGGTCACATCTATTAAATCAGCCTGTAAGCAACCAGTTTGGCCCCTCTGCCCAAGCCCACAACTCCCTGTTTATTTGAAAGCTTCTCAAAAGCTTCTCACCTGTCTTCCAGGCTCTTCTATACAAGAAGGCACTTGGTGCTCATACTTAGGCAATTTACCAGATAACTCCGAAGCACACTTGTGAAAGAAAACCAGACCCAACCTTTTCATAATGGCTTTCGGTGATGCTTGCAGCATGCCAAAATGCTTGGGTGGAATTTGCTCATGAGCTTTATAAAATTACCCTCTGGGAGAGAGCAAACGGGAGAATTCAAGCTAGGAAAGCAAATTTACATTACTGAAGTGTTAAAACAAGACAGAGCTGTTATCTCAAACCCATTGAACAAAAGCAGCCAAAGACTCCCAGTACAGGATTTTGCATGGATGAAGGCTCTGCCAGGAAAAGTTTGTAACTTAAAACATCACAGAATGTACCAGAGCCAGCATGAGCCCAGTTGTTGGAGGAAGCACAGTCCCTTGATCCCAGCCCATGCGTGGGGAGGAAGAAGCAGTTGTAAAGAGAGTGACCTGAGACTTCCAGCTATGGAGGTGATCAGCCCGGACATACAGTTGCTCTTGGGTTGAGCCTTGGTTGACAGCACCAACACCAGCTGTGCTCTCAAGCCCCTTTTTGTACCCCTGGTCCTACCTCCTCCTGCGGTTACAAAGCAGGGGCCAGGCCAGCCCAGGGCAGCCAAGGCTGGGTGGCTGGCACCACTAAGGGTACAAACCCACCATGGAGCTGCTTAAAGCTTCTAGGAGGCATCCAGTGAAGACAGGGAGCTGGATGTGGATTTCACTTTCTCACAGCATGATTTACCTTTTAGTGACTGCAGTAGCTGGTGCAGACTTAACCATGGTGGAGCCACCTCTGGGCTTCTTTGAAGGCTCTCCCAGGAGAGGTCATTTGGTGGCTCCTCATCCTGCTGAAGCCAGCAAACATCCCAGCAGGGTTCAGCGGCAGCAGGTGGGCAGCCTGAGACTCTGGACACAGAGTTCAAAGCCCTCCTGCCAGAAACCTTGGGATTTTTTGAGACTTCCTGGAAAGAAGTCTCATTCTCATCCTTCTCCTCCTTTGGTCTATAAGTGGTTGTTGTCATGACATGGTCCTGGTCTACCCCAGACTTCAGTCAGAGATGTTGAGCTCTTTCAGAGCAAAGGCAGCCCCATCTCCTTCTCCTTGATCAAGCAGTAGCTCCCTGAACTCCCACTCCAGTGTGAGTTCTCACCACAACACTGGGGTATCTTTATAGTTTTGGTTATGAAGTTGGTTCATTGGCTGGCTATGCCCAACCATCACAAAAACATCCCAAAACTGTCTGGCTTTGTAATTCCTGGAGTTTAAGTCAAACTGAAACCATTAGATCATCTTTTCTGCATTTTTTGATGCCACACATCACTGCATTTCACGTGAACACTGAGCCCTGTAACTCAGGTCAGACAAAAAGCCCCGGAGCCTTCTCCCTCCCTGGCTGGCACAGGGCACCCAGCTTTCAGACTGGGTGATCTTGTAGCACTGGGGCAAGGCAAGAAATCCTCATGGCTTCATGTACCAACTCCCCACTTACAGGCTGAGCCATTCTTCCCAGCACCTGAATTGAAAACGTGCGCTTGAAAATGAGCTAATTTTGCTTTAAAGGCTGCAAGCCCTGGTGAGTGCACCGCTCCCCTTGCAGACTGTCGCAGTATGCAGTTACCATCACTGTGAGAGAGCTGCAGCTTATTTCAAGGTTGAATTTGTCCAGCTTCTCATCCCCAGGACATTTACATCTCTGGAAATAATCTGGGGACATTGCAGTCTGCTGCAGCGAAGCTGTCGCTTTCCTTGGTCAGATCTTTAGGCAGGAGCTTGGTTTTTACCAGTCTGATGTCACTACATGTCCCCTTCCTTTATATTCTTTGCTTTTTTTTTTTTTTTTTAACATTAGGAGAAACGTAACATTTTATTTTCAAGCTTTTCTTCACAGTTACGAGGGCCAGATCCTTTATTCAACTGGCAAGAGCTGAGAACCTCACGCATTTGCATGACTGCAACCAATGACTTTAAAAACTCTTTTAACTAAATCACTGCCCAGAATTTATCAAAGACTCGCCAGGCTGATGCACATGCGGGCTGCTGACACCCAGCACGGAACATATGAGCCCTAAAGTACCTAAAATTATCTCGTGTTGGCTTTTCAAAATATGTCTCCACCCTCCATTCAGAATGACAACTTTTGGCAACAACAAGAAAACAGAAATGACAGATGGTAACAAAATCTGGTACACAAACATGACAGTAGGCAATATAATGAACATTTCACCCACTCGTTCATTTATGCTAATCATTGCTTTTGAGCAACCTGAATTGTTATGCCAGACAGCAGCGGATCTGAAGCATGGCATCGCGAATCTCAAAGGGCCACCAACCTGAAACCAGGATAAAACCCTCACCAGGCTACTCGTGAATGAAACTGAAGTATCTCTAAACTAGAGCCTGCTCTGACAGCCACTGAAATATCCCTCTGTTCCTGTAAAGCACATCCAGCCCTCCCCTTGCCCGGAAAAGCACCACATCCACAAAACGGAGGCAGTCCAGTTTCCCTGCTACCCAGAGCTGCACCAAACCTCAGATGAACCAGCAAAAATCAGCAGGCAAGGATGGGAATTAGCATCCTTGCAGTGAACACACGTTGTGCTAACGAAACATATTATTTATGGCGACAAAAATTGTCTTTTAAAAATGCTTCCCTCCCGGACCAGGCTCTCCGGGATGGATTCGGTCCCCACAGGAAAATGTTTACTCTTTTATTTGAAGCCCACTTATCTCACGCTGACATTCTCAGCGGAAGGTGCTATGTCACCCACTAAACTCCTTTTATTTCCTATAAAAATGTAAATCAGCCTATTTTTTCCCCCAACAACCTTATGTAATGAGCAGTATCCTTGCTCAATTATTTTGAAGACATGCTTTCAGCCTCTATTTTATGCAGAAATCCAAAAGACTGAAAACATTCCTCCCCTTCCCTGCCATTTCAGTGCTCGCTCCTATGCCTGCTGGTGCAAAGGTCTGTTGGCATTCCTGGGGTAGTTAAGACCTAAAAACATCTCAGAGGGCAACAGCAATGCCATTGTATTCTCCTGAAGGTATAAAATAAGTTTTTCCACCAATAAATTGCCAGCACTTTGAGGAAAAAAATACAATCTTGAGCAATTGCCCTCAGAGCCGGCCAAGATGTGGAATTGTACAAAACTGTACATATATGTAATCATAAACGAGGCTAGTCCTGCTTGATAAAGATTTCCAGACACTGGCCTTTGTAAGACCCAATTTTCATTTGCTTGCAATGCTGTCAAACATTACCTACAGTAGATGAAAAGCTCCCTTCTGGGGCCAGAATCACAGCGAGAGCTCACAAGAAAAAGACAAATTTGAGCCAAAACATTTTAGTTGCTATTGAGGAGGGGAAAAAATCACTATGTGGTCTTGGTAGGTTTCCAGTAACCAGGTCTGTAAGTTCTACACTCAGCCCCAGGAGAAGGGGTTGGAGGTAACATTTGAGTGAGCAGTGCATCTCCCATCATCGTCATGAAGGTTTGTCTGACCTGGGGGAACACAGCTTTCTGTCTTCTTTCCCTTATCATCTCAGGCCCTGGAGGAAGCATCCCAGCCTGTTCAGTTGTTCCTTGTGTGGAAGCTACTCAGTTTCTTTAGTCACCCTTGTTGCCCATATCCACTTCTAGCCCTTCTGCACAAAGAAATACAGCAATTTGAACCTCAACAGCATGGAGCAGTCAAAGCAGAAGTCCACCATGCACAGAGTTGTGCCAGACCAGGGCTTTCTGTTTGCCTCTCTGCTTCAGTCTCAATCACTCCTAACAATAATATCCCCAGCCAGCTCCCAGCCTTGGCAATGGTGCTGCTGGAGAACCATCAACCAGCAGGGCTGGGGCCTTCCAGAGACCCCTATGCCACAGCACCGGGTGCTTTGTGGTGGGTTGGGGTATCCTGCACAGTAGCCAGTGGCTCAGCCCACCCTCAGGGACATCACTGCTCACTTTCAGCAACCCTGTCTTTCAAAGAAGCCTGTTTTGACTCACAATGCTCCTCCTGAGCTGGTTTGTGCCTGTGGCTGGCTCCCGACCCACATCGATGGCAAGAAGACATTGCTCCACCTGACTTTGCCAGATCGGATCCCACCCCAGATCAATGCCCTTTTGGAAGCACTCATCTATTCACCATGCACCATTCAGCATCCCTTTGAGACACTTCTTCCTTCGTTTCCCTTGCTCCTAAAAAGACCAGCCTCCTGCAGAGACCACTGGTGTCTATACAGCCCAGGACACTGATGGACCATCTGATGGCTGTGGACGGTGCTGCAGATCTGAGACAACTCCAGCAGCAGGACAACCTTGGGCTGAAGATGGGGGCTCTGGCTGGAACAAGGCTCACCAGCTCTAGGCAGCAATGCATGGCCCAAGGCTCCCTGTGGCTGTAGTGTGGCTGTGGCCATCCGGAAGCCCAGTGCATACTCCAGCCTCTCCCCATCTCTTACAAACCACATCAGCACAGAAAATCTGGCAGCCAGGACTGTTGTGTCGAATGTGAGGCCCATCCATCCACAGCTACAGGTGACACCTGTTAAAAGATAAGCAAATCCTCCTTTCAGTTTGTTTTTTAGGGTTTTTCCAAGGTGCTGCACAAATACAAAGTCTTCCCATCCCCTGCCATCCCTATTCCCCACCTCTTCTGCCCAGTTCCAGAGTTAGGAAGCCAGAAGTGATGTTGCTCTCCTCACTCCAGGATGTGGTGAGCTGGCTGGCAGGTTGTCTGGAAGTAAGAGATCTGGCCTGAGTCAGCATGAGAAGGTGGGAGCTTCTGCCTCTTGTTTGTTACAGAACAGGGAAGGTACCTGTGTCCTGCTGACAGCACATGCTGCTCCCAAAACCAGGAGCACTGGCTGGGGAGGATGCTGCTCCAAGACCGCGGCTGAAGGTGACTTAACCCCATGTCCTTGCCCATCCAGGGCATGTTCACAGGGAATCCCACAGTCCGTGTTCCCTGGGTGCCCTGGTGCTGCCTGGCCATGGGGCATCCAGTTCTAGCACAGGGCCGGGGTGCCCTTGGTTGCTTTGCTGCAGCCGGGACCCCCAGCAGCCTCTGGCTCTGCCAGGCTGTCCCTGCTTTTCCAGCCGGGGCTTTGGCTGCTCTTGGGACACACTCAAAGTTCACTGTGCTATAAATACCTGGGTGCAGGGCTGCCAGCACGCTCCTGGCTGGGGGGGGGGGGTGCGCTAAAACTAAGCGGGGTTTCATTGCAGTTAACCCTTTCGGTGCATGACTCCCCTCTGTGCTGTTTGGAAAAGAGGGATCCTCTGATTTGAAATGTTTCTCAAGCCAGAAGAGTGCAGCAAACTCCTTCTGTGGGCTGATTCCTGCTGGGAACGGCCCAGGGATTGGTACAGGAAGCGGGGGAGCACAGCAGGGCTGGGGGAGGTTGCAGGGGACTGGTGTTTTGTAGCCAGGCACACGCACAGTTCCTGTGTGACCTCCAGCTCGAGCAGAAGAGCTATAATACATAGAAATGCACTAAATCAGGACTAGATCTGTCCCTGCTTCAGGGACAACTCCCAGATTGCATCCCCAGTGTGCGGGGTCACCCGAGGCAGAGCACAACTAATTACCTAGGTGCAAAGGGGCCTGAGGCTCCCTTGGGAGCCAAACCCATGGGTAGACCCCTGCTATGACACCGGAGCTGTACAAAGCCCTTTTATGGTGCCAAAGTCAATAACCATTTCCCTGCCACACACCTCACTGCGCTGGGCTGAAGGTCGAGCCAGCCTCTGGGAAGAGCCTCTTCCTCCTTTTACTGTGTTCCAGCCACAGGAGATGGAAAGCTTGGAGCTAGCAGCGGAGGATGGACCTGCACGCTGGAGGCAGCAGAGCTGGAGCCACCTGCAGAGCCCTGATGGGCTGTGTGAGACCCCACTGGCTCCTGCTGAGGCTGGACATAGTTCGATGCACATGGCCCAGGGAGAGGACAGGCTGAGGACCCAGCAAGGTCCTTGTCCCCAGAGGTCCCGCAGTGCCCAGGACTGATCCCCACCTGCGGCAGGGCTGCAGCTGCCATGAGCTTGGTGCAGACCTCTCAGGGCTTGTCCTTGTGGTCCCCAGGGCCTCGCGGACTCCTTTCACCCTGGGGATCCTGTGATGAACCATCAACCTCAGGCCTGCACAGGTCCCAGTGTCCAGCTGACCCTGCCACTGGAACAACCTCATTTCAGTCTTGGAAACCTCACCTTCAGGGTAAGGAGGATGCCTTCATCACCTCACTCTCCATCACCTCCCTCTCCTCATCACCACCACAGAGGTAACGCTTCTTTAGTGCTGTCAAATGCCACATCCCTGCCTGGCGTTTGCTCAACCCAGTTTTTGGCTTATTCTGGTAGTTGCTCCTGACACCAACACGGGTCCTGCCTCACCACGAGGCTGCACCCTGAGCCGTGCCCATCCCTTGCACTCCCAGCAGCAGCCGTGCTCCCTGCGTGGGCTCGGGACATCGCTGCCCTAGCGCCGGGCTCCCCTAGAGCCCACGGCCGCTGTGTGCAGCACTGCTGGGCTATGCACTGCGCAGCACCGGGGCGAACGAGCCGAGCGGGTGGCACTAGGGGGAGATAAAGGCCGGGACATGCCGTGCACTGTGCCTTTGCCACTCCTGTTCCCTGTCCCTATGGCCACCCTGTCTCCAGCTGCCTGAAGGAGCAAAGAGCAGAGCTGTAAGTTTCCACGTGTCTCTCCTGGCATCTTCAGTGTTTGGGAAGCACCTTTAACAATGATACTTACATACACCTGCATGCAGCAGGTACAAAAGCAAGAAGCTGCCTTCTGCCACGTGTGGATAGCACAGGGGCACCAAAAAATGCACCCAGGAGGAAGGAAAACAGCACAAGATGTACAGAAAAGGGGCCAGCAGTGAACGAGGGGTCTGGGGAGCTGGCCTGAAAGCAGAGTGTAATGCACACTGCAAGCCTTCAGCTGGAAACCGAGCCCATCACTGCCCTGGCTCCCCATTCCTGATGCCCCTGTGGGCACACTCGGTGTCAGCACAGCAATGCCAGCCACCACAGGGCCCCTTCACCAGCAAATTTGGAACCTCCAGGGCTAAAAACCATTTCAGGGGCATCTCTGGCTGCAGGCACCTCCCTAGTGTCATAGCAGCTCCTCTCCTGCCCCAGATGTTCCCTTCTCCAGGGGCTCCCTGTGATCTCTCACACTGGAGATGGGAGGATTTCAGCAGGAAGCATTTCTGGAGCTCCTGGGAGACAAGGAGCAGAACCAGCAGGACCTGTCCCTGTCAGAGCTGTTGGTGCACAGCCGGATCTCACAGGCACCCATGGGTGCAGCTGTGGGTCCTGTGACATGAATCAGCACCACACACTGGGAAAAGCACAGTGCAACAGCAGCTCCCCGGGCAGGAACAACTTGAGGGGGGCACATTTCACTGGTATTTTCCATGGATTGAAATATAAAGGGTAAATTTTGTCCCCTTTTTCCAGCAGGAAGGATTCAGAGCCTGGCTGGCACAGAGCTATAATCACAGATGCTATTGATAAAGGACTGTACATTGCCCATGATGCCAAAACCACACGGAGCCCTTGGCGCCTGTGCTCACCAGGCACACCATAGAATCACAGAACACCAGGCTGGGAGGGACTTCAAGGATCTTCTGGTCCAACCTTTCTAGGTGAAGCCTAGAAAGAAAACCTAGAAAGCCTGGAAAACCTAGATTAGCTGCCCCAGTGCCCTGTCCAGCTGAACCTTTAAAGTGTCCAATGTCAGCGAGTGCACCACTTTCCTGGAGAGACTATTCCAATGGCTGGGTGTTCCCATTGGGAAAAAAGTTCCTCTTGTGTCCAGTCAGAATCTCCCCAGAAGTAACTTTGTGCCCATCACTCCTCATCTTTTCCATGTGACTCCTTGTAAAAAGGGAGCCTTCATCTTGTTTCTGGCCACCCTTAAACACTGGAACAAGCTCAAGTCCCTGAGCTCCCCCCAGCACACCTGCAGAGCACTCACCTCCAAACCCATCAACCCACCCCAAACCCATATTTTCTCTCCCCAGAGCTTGTCTGTTCAAAGATTTTGGGCTCATGGCCTTCCCAAATCTCAGTCCCAGGGGGAGCTGGACATGGCTGGGGTCTCTGCAGAGCAAAGCCCACTCACAGCTCTCACTGAACCCATCCTTCTCCCTGCCAGCACAGGGCTTTCTACCTCCTCCACCACCCTCTGCAGGGGCTCTTCAGCTGTGAATGGTCCCACTGCCCATGGTCCTGCTGTGGCACCAAGTGGCATTGCTCACTCTACAGCCCAGCTCTGGTTTCCCAGTGCTTAGGGCTCTAGCTAGAAAGTTTTCAACATCCTCTCTCTTAAACTTCATGTCTGTCCCTGCTGCGGTGGCCGGTAACTGGATAGGGACCTTGGAGCAGGGAGGGTGGGTGCAGAGAGGGAGGAAGGCAGAGGAGTGCCCAGGCCGGGCGTTATCTGAGCCCCTACAGGAACAAGGTGTCTTTGCCATGGTGTGAGCTGGCGAGAGCGAGGGAGGGGAAGGAGATCCTCCATCATCACTTTGCTATGCCTCGCACTGCCCGTTCCCCGCTCACTGGGCTCATGGACTCACCGCTGCGGTGGCAGGGTGCAATCCAGGGCTGTGCTGGGTCCTTGACCCCTCCCAGGCCTGGAAAAATGCACATCTTGCTTTGGCTTCATTCCAGATGTGCTCCAAAAGCAGCGATTTGGTGTATAGCAACAGCACGGCTTCTTCTGGGACGGGAGGCAAGTGAGGCACACCAAGCAGCACCCTGACAGGTTACCCCATGTGCTGAGGGCCTCCTGACAATGCTGTCATCCAAAAGAGCAAAAGGTTTGTGCTCAGCCCCTGCTACAGCCCATAAGAACCTTGAGGGGCTCGGGGGCAAGGCTGGGATTTGCAGTCTCTTCCCCACCAGAGCTGTGGATTTGCAGAACAGCCCGGAAGTAAAGGCTCATTTCTGATGGTATTTTTGAATGACAAAAGCATTCCCTGTGATTTCTGCCCATGGCAGCGCAGCCTCCCCATTGTGAAGTGCATCGTGTGCCTCTAGGGATGCAAGGGCAGGATGCTGGGCTGCAAATGGGCAGGGTTTAGGGTTTAGGGCCCGCACAGGAGAAGAGCCATCCATCTAGGAAGGCTCAGGTGCTTCATGTTCCCCAGACCAGGCTGGAACACAGAGCAGTGAGACAGGCAGCTAGACCCAGAGGCTCAGCCTGGAGAAGATTCCCGTGGGCTCTTGAGTGCTTCAGCTTTGCTCCGTGCACCAGCAGAACCTGGATTCAGGCAGCAGAGCTCAGGAGGGTGCTTGTGATTTGTCCCCATGTGCTCCCTCTTGCTGCAGTTTACAGGTGCTGCCACCCTGGCATCTTTGAAACAGGCAAACCATGACCAGCTCCCCACCGGAACCACACGCAACAGCCAGGCACCCCCGCACATCCCGGTCCAGGGGCCAGAGGTTGCTGTGTGTAATTGGGCATCATCACGAGTGCCAGGCTGGGGCCTGTGCAGGGCACCCATGGGTGCTCCGCTGGACCCCACAGCTCTCCAACAGCCACTGGGTGCCAGAGAGGAAGGAGCCTGACCCAAGTGGTGAACCTGACAGCAGACCCATCCTCTGCACATCATCCAGCATAAACCCTCTCATCTGGGGGCACTCAGGCAGGGGACAGGCTCTCCAGTGCAGTGCCACAGTCGGGGTCCTGGCTCCAGCTCTGCTTCTCAGAGCCAGCCTCTCGGGAGCTGCTGTCCCCGAGCCTCTCGCCAGCGTTTCTCCCCTTTTGACACATCAGGAGTTTCCACAGTGTTTGCTTTCAGCAGATCATTCCCAGCATCGCGTCACCTCCCCACGTGTTTTACTGGTTTTCTTCAGCCTCCCAGCTTGGACACAGCCTTTGGAAAATGGCATTTCACCTCCAATATGTGCCCCTGGCATTAAAGCCCAGTCCCTCTGCTTTCCGCAAAGGCTCTTTGTGCCAAACCCAATGTGGCCGCTTGTCGTAAAGCATTGGGTACAAAGCATATGCAGGACAGATGGATATGAGGTTTATAAGATAATTAAGCATGTTAATGAAGTTCATTTGCATCCAGCTCTTAAATTCCCATAAACTCTGCAAAGCTGTGAAATGGGAACTGCCGCTCCACACTGCAAAGCAATAGAATTCAGTTACCAAAAGCAAAACACCAATGGACAAGTGGGGACAAAACTGGCTGTGGTCCCGGCCGAGCAGAGCCCAAGCAGGTCCCTACTCCCACCGCACAGTGCCACCAATGGGCGCTCCCCTCTGATGGATAAAAACTGTTTACGGGCTTTGGCTGCACTGAAACATTCGGAAAGCTGGAGGGAAATCATTACTGCAAAGAAAGGTTTGACCCAGAGATGGAGGAAAAGCTCCATGGTGCAAAAACAAAAGCTGGTCAACGATGCAGGGAGCCAGGCTGCAGGTCCCTCACTGACCCAGCCACTGGCTGCACCTGAAGCAGGTCCATGGTCAGCAACATCTCCCAGGGCCTTTGGTGAAGCCTCAGTAATGGTGCAGCAGAGCACCCATGAGCAGGGACGGTGTCTGGCTCAGGCTGGGCTACACGGCTGAGACCCAGAGGGAGCTGGAGCAGCCTCAGAACAACAGTAATGTGGGGGGACCTGGGGAGGAGCCAACGCAGATCTGCAAAGGAAAATGGGCAGACTGGTTTTATTTGAAATGCTTTGATAAGATTTATTAAAAAATATCCCTTGGCAGTTGACAATCACCAGGATCTACAACAGGAACCCGGCTGGGTAACATCGGAACAAGTTTTGCCTACAACCAAAGGCGAACACCCAGGAACACTCGACCATGGCTTACACACACCTATGGGCATTGAAAATGGGGGTTGGCATGAAGGAACACAGTGTAGTCACTTGCTGCAGAGAAAACTGCACCACACACGTGTCACACATGTGCTCCGGTACTTACCATGGTGGTGGAAAACCCCAAACCTATTTAAAATATGGGGAAAACAATAAACTGGCACCCTCAGAGAAACCGGACTCCATGGCTCCATGATTCCAGGAGGACAAAGCTCTTGGTCTGCTGCAGCTGCGGGGAAACAAGGGAAGGGGAAGCTTGGGCACCTGCACAGGAGCATCCTGCTGCGCAGCCCCATCACCAGCACGCATGATGAGAAGGGCTGGAGCTTCAGGAGGTGGCAGCAGCCACTTCCAGCAGCAGGTCACTGGTCTCAGTGGGCCGAGGGAGCAAAGTGCTGGGCGCAGATCCTGAGGGAGCCACAAACTCCGGGTCAAATCGTGACTTTGAAGGGCTCAGGGCTTCACTAGGTGATTTCTCCCCTGCCTCAGTGAAGGCCAATTAACACACAGTGGGATGCTGAAGAGAGACCCCGAGGGAGGCAGGGGTGTGTGGGAGGCAGACAGACTGTGCTGAGCTGCCCACAGCAGCCCAACACCTTCAGCTCTTCCGCATGGACAGATCCTGAGTTTGGAAGTGTAACAGCTCCTCTCCTTGGACAGCCGCTCCTGCTCAGTCATTTCCTGTCCCGTGGGCTCCAGACCAACAGTGCCTCACCCCCACTTTCCAAGTGGGTTGAGAGAACCAAAGCAAGGCACTGCTATTCCAGAAGCAACCATCAGTGCTCTCCACTAAAGGGAAAAACAACTGTTTAAATACTCATCCCCAGTTCTGGCCAATCCAAGGTCCCCATGTTTAAAAGATCCTGCCGAGACCTCCCTCCATGGGCAGCAGCCACCACATGATGGCTGCAAAGGAGCTGCTGGCTGGGCTGTGGCCCAGCCCCTTCCCAGCACTCCAGAACAGTATTAAAATGAGGAAAAATTAGGAAGGAGTCAGCTCTTTCCTAATTTAGGAAGGATTCCCCACCAGCACTGGGAAAGCAAAGGTCATTTGCTGCCAACCAACACATCAAAGTGCAGCAAGTCTATGTGGCAAACTCCTTTCGCTTTTGAAATGCCTTCTAAATATGCACCTTATCATAATTTAACTCCGTGGTTTCATCATTTATCAAAGAAACACTGGAAAAAGCCAGATCCAAAGCACAGGCCTGAAAAAACCTTCTCTTCCAACAACTGTTCTTTGACACAACATGCAAACGGCCCAGGGCTGCGTCTGAAGTCGTGCTGGAGCAAAAATAAGAAAGCGAACCAATTTCGGGTTGACATAGTGTATTGTGAATTACGTTCTCAGCTTTTCTACAGCTACGATAGCGTGAAATGATCTGCCATACAGTAAACCAGTTTAATACACAATTGATTACAGAGCTGCAGGAAGGAGCCGGAGATAATACGCAGTTATCTATGTACATTTATAGCTTAGTATTTCACAGATACAACTTTTTCCCATCTCGGTTTTGTCAGTGAAGCGGAGGCAGAGTATTTACAGGGAAGCCGCGGCGAGGAAGCCGCATCGCCAGCACAGCCCCGGCAGAAGCTGCCGTGTCCCCCAGCGGTGCCTGTAAACAGAGCGAGTCTCTCCTTTCGCAGGTAGGGATGGGACAAGGCAAGGGGACACGGGCTTCACTGGGGCGGGAGAGAAGGAAAACAGGAGAACACCTCCAGCTAACACGGAGACTTCAAAATGGTTTAATTTGCCTTTTTGTCCTTTTAACTGGAAACTGCTCTCAATTAATGTTTCAATTCAGTAGCACTTCAAACACATTCTCTGTTAACACTTTCTACATCATCTCCATGTGCTTATGCAAGGCCAGGCAGTGCGGGAGCTTTGGGTGATACTGGCGAGGCACCTTTGAAAGCAAGCAGGGGGTGGTCAGGAGTTCCAGCCCCATGCTGCTGCCCAGCCGACAGCCCCTAGAGAACCAAAGCCAGCCCTGGATTGAGTTTCTTGCTTCCAGGATTGTTTCTTACAAGCGACTGGGTACCGCAGCTCAACATTACAGTGACTGCTCATGTAGGGTCAGGCATTGGTGTGATGCTGTATAAAGAACAGCGGGACAGACCCAGACCTGAGCCAAACCATCCACATGGCCCGGCCATGGCTAGACACGCACGATGCCTAGTGCACAGTTTTAATAACCAGCTGAGATTTGCTGATGTTGAAACACAAAACACAACCAAGAGACTGGGAGGGAAGACATATTGACAGGCATCCGACTGCCACCAGGCTGACCAGGAAGTGGCTCAGCCAAGCAGGGCAGCAGGATGCTGCTCCCGAAGCAGAGCTCCCAGACCTCATCCACCTCACCAGCTCAACAGGACTCGGAGCCCGCTGCTGCCCAGCACTGCTGTGGGACTGACATGGCAGCTCCTCAGTGGCCAGCTCCTTCTCAACTCACCCAGCTTTCCCATCCTCTTCATCCCTGCTTTCTCCATCTCAATGCCGCAGGACTGAAAGAGCCTGGGGGTGGGAAAAGAGGAATCCAGCCCCTGCCACCAGCACAGAAGTCATTTTATGCCCAGTTAAAAATACTGTTTCATGGAAAGAAGGAGCTTTCCCAAGCAATGCGATATAAAAAGCCACCATGCCAGCCCCGGGGGAGAGAGGTGACTTTCCTGAGAGCAAAGGGGGAGCCTCTCTACCTGCTCCTGGGTAATTCGGTGAGGGGGGCCAAGGTCCTTATCATCTTTGGACACTGCCACTACCTCCTCGCACAGAGGAGACACCTGCCATTGAGCAGATTCTCAGCACTGGGTTTTGTCTCTCAGCAGATGTTTGGGGTTGTTAAGGCTCCGGGCTTTAAAGAGTTTATTACTTTGGAAGTTTAAAGCTGTACTCGCAGTAGGGTATAGCAAGTCTCTGTCTCAGCATCTCTCTCTTTCTCTTTTGACATGATCTTCGAAAACTAGAAGAAATTAAACAGGAGAGGGTTACTCTGGCAACTCCAGAACTGCACTCTGGAACTACTGCGCACAAAGAGAAACATTAGATGGTGCCAGTGGGACTGTGCTGGTACCTGCATGGTGGGCAAATCCCAGTTCATGCAGTGACATGGTGCAGACCACTGCATCCAAAGGCAGGTTGCACAGGGTCTTGGGTGACATGGTCTAGTGTGAGAAATCCCTGGCCATGGCGGGGGGTGGAACCGATGATCTTAAGCTCATTTCCAACCCTAACTATTCTATGATTGTACAGTACTGCAGCCCACCCGCCCACACCCCAACAATTTCTAGGAGCAGCAGCAAGATGGAGTTGCACAGCTGATACTAGAGGTAAATGACAAACGGCTCTGGTCTCACTCAAAGGCAAAGTTTCAAAGTCGTTAAAGCAGCATCTTCCCTCAGGGCACACCTGCAGATGTACCATATGCTGCATTCTTTGCTGCCCTGAGCTTAAATCCTCACCAATGAATCAATACAAACCATCTTTCAACTGCAAACTAATATTTAGCCAGCGCATGAAGCTAGAAACAAATGAAGACACGAGTGACTGAGGGAGGAAAAGAAGGAAAAACTTGAGAAAGTTATTGTGTTTTTTTTAACTCATCCTAAAGATGATTTGAGAACCAATGCTCAAAGCAGGGACACACATAATGCTGCTCCTCGTCAAGGATAATAAACTGGTCAGGGCACCACTGGTTATAGCTGAAACTTAAAATCTTAGCAATTGTTGCCAGCCCCAGTCTTCTCTGCAGCTCTTCAGATTCAGTGAACACCGCAACTTCTGGACATTAAAATACGCACTGTTGCAGTGAGCCAGACAAAAGGGAGAGAACAGAACAAACCATGGGAAGGCCAAGAGGGGAGAAGCTGACAGCTTCTTTCCAGAAGTATTCACCATCACACTGCACCTGACAGCCCTCCTGCTGCATTGCTGCTGACCCTTGTCTTCCACCTCTCCAGTTTCCTTTACATTTTGGGTATAATTTAGCAGAAAGAGGCCCAACTTCTTGACAGGGCTTCACACAATCATACCACCACCACCAGTGGAGACCAGGCCCAGCAACAGCAAGTGGTAATTCAAGTTCTTCCCTTCAATGCTGCTCTCTTACAAATCAAAACAAGGACCAATACACCCTGTATAGAGAACTCAAAAGGGAAAACCCCATTGGAACAGATGACTTTCCTGCCCAAAGTGATGTTCCACATGCAGCTTGCCAAATCTCAGGGTTACTCCAAGACCCCCACTGGGTTTTCACAGCTGCCTGGGCATGCAGATGTAAGCACCACAGCACTGGGGGATCCCTACACCTCCACCTCAACTGTCTCTCTCCTCACATGAATATCATTCTGTATTTACAGTCAAACCACCCCTGTGACATTTTCAGTAACTGGGATAGGCATAGAGTTTATTCCTTCCCCTCTTCTGCTTTAGTACATTTGCTAAAACTCAGGGTAATAAAAGTTCCTTTCCACTTCTGCTGTGATGAAAAATGAAATTTTTCACAGAATTCTTAAGCTTTAACTACTGGAATATGCCTGCTGCTCTTCTGCATCTTCTGCCAAGCAGCTTAACAACACAAGGAGAACAAATGACTTAACAAACACAAGGGGAACTGTGACCAAACAAATGGACAAAAGGCATCAAAGCGAATGTGCTCGTCCCAATTGTATTAGGAAACAAGAAAGGCAAACAACAGCAAAAGCAGCATCTGATGCCCTGACCTGCCAGCAGCAGAGTTGAAAGGCTGCTGTGCAATGCAGAAGACAGTTTAGCAAAGGTGAGCAGCAGGGAGGCAAGAACCACTCCAGCATCCCATCTAGACCGAGCAAACGAGACCACAGCAGGGAAGAAGGGAGAAAAAACCCACAATCTCTAAATTTGGCAAACACCCCCCCGCCCCCCCACCCAAGCTGCACAGTTTATGGCATAAAGTTGATTGCTCTGTAAAGAGCTGATCACATTATATCCAACCTCAGGCGCTCACAGCCTCTCATGGTGTTGCAAAGTAACAACATGGAGTTAACAACTGGGTACAGTGTTTGGTTTATAGCTCCTTTTATTTTTGCTCTGGGCACCTCCTTTCTGTGTTTTAGCCCTGAAGTAAGAGTATCCAAACACTTATGTTCTGGCGAAGCCCTTCGGGAGTCCACCCTCTCCCCACCTCCTTTTGTCATATCGAAACCCTCTGGCTCCCTGCATTAGGACACAGCAGGAGCAGCAGTGCCAGCACTCGTGTTACCTCCAGGAAAGGGGAACAGCTGCAAACCTTGGGAAGTAACAGGCAAATCTGTTCTTCTCAAGATCATAAATGCCAGAAGTAAATCGAGGTGAATGCCATTTCCTTGTTTTTTTGAATGAGAAATCTGTTTCACAGAAGTAGCTGCGAGAAAAACAAGCGGTTCTGTGTTAGCAGCAGATTAAGACCACACTGAGGAAAACATTCAGCATATTCCTCATTACGCTCTAGAGCAGCTCCCACAAGTGAGCTGTGGCAGGAGGCAACATGGGACTAGCAAATACCCAGCAATCTTCCTGACCCCCTTTCTCTGGATAAGTTTTAAACCATCACCATTAAACCACCCTGTGAACAGGAAGCGCAGCCATGCACTGACTGTTCCTGCAGAATACACTTCCAGGTGCCTGGCCAACTCCTCAACCCTTACGTGGTGTTTGCACTGTGCTGGCACTAACCCAAGCAGCACAGAAGAGATTTTAATGACGTGAACTTTGCTCATGGTCTCCCACAAGTGCACACGTGTCAGGGCTGCAGAGAGGAATGCAGTACTGCACGAGGCAAAACTGACTCTGGAGGCAATTTTAATGATGAGTATTGGGATGTCTCTTCACAGGTGTAAAGGGAAGGTGGAAAGGTTCACCTCCCACTGTTTTACAACAGAAAATAGGTATCTCCTTGTTCTTTATGCCTGGGAAGATCTCACTATCCACCAAACCATAAGTTGTGAGCTTCTCCATTTCCTTACTATGCTGTATTAAAGGGAAGATTTCAAACCTCTGAAAGAAGACCTGCAGTCTCAGGTGTTGAACACTTGCTGCTCTCCTGGTGGCAATAAGCAAAGAAGGGAACCACCAGTTACTCAGCTTTTTCTGACTTTTTTTCCCAGCTTCAGAGTTAAAGCATAGTAATGTGGCCGGCAGTTCCCAGAGCAGAGAACAGCCCTTAATTTCAGAGTTCACTAATACTCCTGTCCTCAGTCACTTTATTTGCTTAGTGCCAACAAAAAAGAGGCCCTGCTATTTTTTTTCCTGGTATTCCAATTACCATAAACCCAACAATCCTCTCGCAGCACCATGCCACAACAGCACAGGAGCGATATTTGCTCTATAGGCTGGAGGATGAGGCTTTGCATTCTGCAGTGCATTGCTTCATTAAGGAGAAGGAAGGTGTTCTGGGTGCAGGGCCCTACTCCAGCACCTTCTCCCTTCAGGTTTAATCACAGGGTGCAAACCTCTCACTGGATGCAGGGCTGTTGCTGGTGGAGGTTTAGTTATTGTGCAGTGTCTCACATGAGAAGCTGGTACATCTCAAGTGGACTCTGCCACTGCAAACAGCAGATCAATGAGAGAGAAATGCTAGGTATTCTATAAAACTAGGAGAAAGAAGTCAAAGGGAGAAAGGTTTGAATGACTTTAAGACACTAATGTAACACTAGAAGGCATGTAAACAATTCTGGACCACGCTAACTCCTCTACTGTAAGAAAAGGAATACTGACATACATGTAACTCAAACACAAACCCTAAAAATGGTTTCAAGAATACATTCTTCAGATGCAAGAGGTATTTGCAGAATTATACTACCTGAAAGTTGGAAGTGCAACCCACTATGGGGATGGGGGCAGAGGAGGGCTAGTTTCAATCTACAGAGAAGGAAGGCTGCTGTAAAACTGTGCACTAATAAAAATCTTACATTGTTGCTCATCACAAAGAGCCCCCAAACAGGCTACAGCATCTGTGGCAAAGGGTACAGGAATGAGTATCTCCTGCTTGTTTGTACGCTGGCAGACTGAGCAAGTCAGATTAATTTTAAATAGCTTTTCTATCAAGCACATTTTAGACATGCATAAACAGCAGCTTTTGTGAGAACAGTGTGCAGAGTCTGACCCAGAAATCTCAGATTTACATTTGACACAGGCTTCAAGGGCTCCACGCTAACTGTGGAGTGTAGATGGATCTCAAATAGCTGAATAGGAACTTCACAATATATATATTTATTACTCAAACTCCAAAAATCACATAGGGAATAACAAGGAGTATCAATATATTCCAACTTTAGTTCAGATGGATAGAAAGAATTAAACCCCACACCAATCTGCAGACAGCACAGCATTGCATCTCACCAGCTCCTCCCCAGCTAATGAACTTACTTTGGGCATAAAAGTTCTTTCATTTTATTTGGTGTCACAAGGAGTTGACTGAACTGGAATAGTTGAATAATTAACATTACCCAAAGAGGGGCATCAAATGTAAGCGAAGGAGGTGATGGAAGCATGCAGAGGGCAAACTGGTATAGTCTAATGCCCCTGTCCTGCAGGTCCCTCTGTGCAAGCAGGTTCCTGTGCTCCCGCAGGCCTCTGGTCCCAGGGACCTGCACAGGGTCACCTGCAGGACTGGGAAATTGTTGTGCTTCTCAGCTCACTAGAAAGTACTCTTTTCCCTCTTCCTGTTTTCAGTGGCACGCAGGGAGCATGCTGTTTCATTCCCTGCTGCAAAAGCACAGTGTAGGGGGGGAAATCCTGAAAAATATTGTGCAGCACCATTGATTCAGTACAGAGGGAAGCTGGGATACTCAAATGCATTTGGTGGCTTTGGAAGTTCCACCAGCTTTGAAACAAATATTGCCTAGGTAACATCCTCACAGTGTGGTTGGTAGTTCAAAGAGGCTGAAACACCATCTTATTACTCTTATTAAACCCATTACCAATTCATCTGTCCTGATCCCTTCCACACACACACACACATAAAAACCCCCAAACAAAACAAAACAGAACAAAAACCCAAACAGGAATAAAATAAATAAATAAATAGAGGCATTCCCCAAACATTCATTTCACTTTTCTCTCTCTATCTCTCAAATCAGACCAGCTTAGAGACACCAACTTCACTGACCTTTGCAAATTCAGCCAGCTAACTGACTAACATGAAACTGCATTAGATTCATTAAGACATGAATTGTAACACTCACATGGTCACTCATCTGCTTCTGGAAACCTGTCCTCAAAGCTGGTGATGTCCAAACCCTTATTCCATTCCCACATATCAGTAAGTAACTCATTGGCTATATGGAAAAGAAGTGTATCCAAAGCACACAATGGCACATTAAGGTTGAAGAAAGCATTGGTAAAGGAGAAGAAAAACTACAGCAGTTTTTTAGCCTACTCTTCACTAAATGTTGAGCTACTCCAGAACTTCTCCTCCAGCCCAACACAAAGTCAAATTGTGTCACCCCCTCTCCAAGACATTCTTTTCTCGTATGTTACTGGCACTTTATGTCAGTCTCATATGGTAGATACATGCACATTTGTCTGTGTGTTTACATACAAAAGGTCTGATAACAGTAAAACATTGTTCAGAGATATAAAAAACCCAAGGAGTTGCATTAGCCAAAAAAAGTGTTTTGTGAGAAACAACAATAAAAATGATATAACCACAGCTTTTCTTTTCTCTAAAATTAGATAAATACCCAAAGCTATGATTTCACTTGGGGCCTCTGTACCTTGACAGGGAGTCCAATGGAGTATATCTGAAGGCACTTAATATCCTCTACTCAGCTTAAGATGGTTGCACAGGGAGCTGGGGAGCTTGGGATGTGATTTGGGGCATGGAGGAGAGAGATGGATGAAAACAAGCCCTGAAGAGCTGTGATCCACACAGCACCAGGCGCTGAAATGAAAACAAACGTACAACCCAGGTGTTCAGAAGGTCTCTCTTGAAAAAGAAAACTGCCAATTGCAAATGTTTTTGTGTTTCTATTGACAGAGCACTTCATGCAACTCTGACAGTGCATCATACACTCTTAGAGATATTTAGCTTTGTCAGTTCATTGACCTCCTCAGTTCCTGCTTCCTCGCAGTCAGTCTTCTCTGCGGCTTTGCCAAACCTGCACCTCTCCTCTGCTTTCACCGCGTCTTTCTGGAGCTTCTTGGCGGAAGGAAGGATGTCCTTGGTTTCTGAGTTAACTGTGCCATGGGCTACCTTATCAGAATTTTGTACAGAAGGCACCAGGTTGGCAATCTCATCCGTTGGAGATCGCCCGATGCTGCCATCCACTTGAACCCGAATGTCTGGGGATATAGACAACTGGTGATGTGGCACAATCCCACTGTCCATGCATTTTGGGTAAAGGTAGGTCTTCATCTGACCTTTCCCCTTCACATTGACTGTCCCTCGATAGTCAAAGTCATACCCCATCTTGTTTAGGATGCGGTAGCTCTCCTCACTCACCTGTATACGACACTCGACACCAGTGGTGTCCATTCTGCTAGCAATGTTCACAGTGTCACCCCAAATGTCATACAACAACTTGGTGGTGCCAATGACCCCAGCAGTGAGGGGGCCGTGATTAAAGCCAATCCGAAGTTTAAAATTAAACCACAGCATGTTATTGTTGAAGTCATCCACCACTCGCATCATTTCTTTGGCAAATTCAAAAAGGGTCTGCAAATGTCCGTGGGGATGGTTGTTGTCCTGACACTGAGAGGTGTTCAGTCCTGAAGCAGCCATATAGGTTGCCCCAATTGTTTTGATTTTCTCAATGCTGCTGTAATGTGGTTTGCTCAGCAGCTCATCAAAATCCCCAATCAATTCATTCAAGACTCTGTAGCACTCTTTGCCTCCTTCATAGTTCTCTTCATAGAACTCGCTGAAGTTCACAATACTTGCAAAGATTACTCCGCCACTGTCATGGTTTTTGGAATAGCTCTGGGAAACTTTCAACTGCTCAGCCACATGGTATGGAATAATATTCCTCAGCAACCAGTCTGCTTGATCCCTCATGCTCTGAATTTTGGTGCGATGAAGGTCGGCCTCCACATCTCCGTGGTAGTGGAGACGGTAACTGACCTCAAACTCTCGATTCAGAAACCAGACCAGGAGAAGCAGAAGGAAGGAAACCAAAACCACTTCTTGGCCAATCAGGTCTGCTGGCCTCTTCATGTCATTTGGCACTGAACTGTTGCATGGACTCTTTCTGGAGCTGGAAGCAGAAGAACATGAAAGGTGTGTTTAAAAATGGAGAGTTAGGGCATTGCCATTTCTGCTCTGTATCCTATCTAGCAAAGGCATTCTTTGCTAGAAAAAGAAGTATGGGCAGTGTACATTACATACTAAGTTATAAAATATGCTTTGATAACTTTATCTGCTGTTAAGCATGCTAAAGAATTAATTTCATTGTTAAACTCTTTGAGTACTTCCTTAAAGGGTTATCATCAGGTTCAGCAACACAGAAATTGCCTGGCCTGTGCAGCAGTCACCAAGGAAACAGTTATCATTATATCTAAATATACAACTAAAAGCACTACAAGTAAATACATATTTAAAAAAGCCTCTATATGCGTTATGAGTGATATGTGTGCACATGCATGTTTATATGAGGGGTGTCCACAAATTTTGTGGGATTTATCTTTCTTCGTATTGCCTCCAATATTCAGAAACATCTGCTTTATACTCCTAGTGCCTTTCCCTTGTTTCCTCATCAAAGACCTTTGCAGTATGCCTTTAATGGTAACACACGAAGGTCTGGGAAGTAGATAACCCTGTACAAAACACTTCATGGATAACTGCATCAAAGCGAAGAATATGGAGCTCTGGGTTGACACCTTTTGTACATTATAATCACTGAAGCTTTTCATGGTGGAGACAGAAAGTTTCTCAAAGTGCCAAAATTTAAAAAAAAAAAAAAAAATTAACCCCCCCCATGTCTCACATAGCTCCAGAACAGGCTTTCAAATCCTTCCAACCGTTCATCAACTGCCTGTTGAGATCATAAAGCACTGATGGAGTGTGCTTCCAGTGCCAAACCACCCTTAACAAGGAGACATCTGCAGTCTACGGCTCAACTTTCTGAAGAGATGCAGTCACAAATTTCCTCTGAGGAGACATCACCTATGTGATCCTAGAAGCTAAGTCTGAACCCAGACAGACTGGCATGAAGTGATTCCTGGAGTCACTTCACTGCAAGTTTTCTATAAAATTATGCCAAAGCTTGAGATCTGATATGAGCAGACACATGCTGAAATTCTTCATGTTAAAGAAATGGTCTGATAAGGGAAGGCAACGCATCAAACTTTCTCCTTGACACACAGAAAGACAACCCATCTCTACAGTGTCTGTGTGGATTCCTCTTATGAAGGTATGTTAGCAGAAGAGATTAAAACTCAGAGCACAACTGTAGCAGCAGCTGAAGACAACTAAATTTGTTTCTGTAACATATGAAAGCATTTCTAAGTTCAATTTGTTTCTTTATGCCCACGCAGGACATTTCCACTTCTGAAATGGAAGCAGACACTTAAGCAATGGAGCTATATTATGGGCTCAGTTTCTTTTTCTGAATGTTCATTCTCCAATATTTGATTGACAAAAACAAGCACGATGAAGCAAGCAAAACCATAGCAGAGTTGTGAAACAGATGAATGGGCACAGTCCTGAAAACATCTGTAGGTGCTATGGTCTTCATTTATATTCATTAGCTTTTATCAAAGTAACCCTGTAGGAGAAAAAGTTTCCCATAAGTAAAATATTTACACCAGAGAGCTTACAGGTTGAATTTCAGATTAAAGATAAGACTGCATATTTTGCTGGAAATTACTCCTTTTGTTTTCAACCATAAATATACTTTCAATATACTTCCACAAATACACATAAACATGCTTTCAACCATGAATATACTTCTCCCAGGAGATTAATTTTATTGGCTTGCTATTAAAAAAACACAGGGGAAGAATGAAAGGGGATTACTGCTAACTCACTAAGTAGGTCCCTACAAACAGGTTCTCATAATTGCTGGTGCTTTGCTATACTGACTCCTTCCTTTTCTTCCTTTCTCCCTGACAACTACTTTTCTCAACTGAACCTTTGCCATGAACCTATTGATTTTCTCCCTAGACAGACAAGTCAGACACTAAGACAAAGGCTAAGTTGTTAGTGACTAGAATGTGACACGTAACAATTCTTGAAATACAATCCTTGCTACCTGTTTTGCAGGTAGCAAATTATCCTCCCATTCGATGGGCTTATAAAACACAATGAGGAGAGGATAAGTAAGAGAGCATAGAAAATAAGTAAGGCTGGAGAAGGTGAGGAATGAATCTTGGTTGAGGAGCATGATTCAGGTTCTTTTCAGAACAGTTCATTATTTTCTGTATCTTGTGAGATGAGATCTGCTAGAGAATCTGAGCAAGGACATGTTACCCCTTTGAGAGTATGAGTTTGATCCAGATAATCTGCTCTAACATCAAACATCCCTGCCACAGGGATTTATTTAAGTCATTAAAAGCTTTTTATTTACAGTTTGTTGTACAAAATGTTCCTCAAAGTACTTGAATTCCTCTTAAATGAATTAGGCAAGCATCACCAATTCTGTTACAAAAAGCGGCTTGTGTTGAACACAAGATCTGCCTTTTAAGAAGAAACTGCTGCCTCTCATTCACCACTCCTCAAGTACTGGCATCTGCAAGCACTCAATCATCTCCTCCAGTGCTGACCTGACCTTATTTCCCATGTGGGTGTACAACCTTAGAGATCTGCATATGAATCGAGTGCCTCACTTCTAAGCTGACCTGATTTCATTAATAAGGTAGTGGGTTAGTATCTCAAAAAAGAAGGTGCAGTATCTTTTCCAGAGCAGGCATTTCTGATCACGGTGGGACTGCTACAAGCATAAGGACAGAAAGCCATGAGATGCCAGCCTGATGGAGAGAGCAATTACATCTTACTCATTTGGAAATCGAATTTCTGGATGTTGCAGCAATCAGATTTCAAGACCTACAGGACTATAAATCATCTTACGCAGTCAGTTAGCAAGGGTGACCTGAAGCTACCTTTCAGAATGGAAAGAAGGAAAAAGAACCCCTGCACACACCTATAACAGAAAGGATCACACACCCCCAAATCTTTTTAAGATCTACTTTTTATGAGGTGCTGCAGCAGAAAACAGATTTTAAAAATCATGCAAATTGAAATCTTAAGCCGACAATGTTCCTTTAAGTCAAACTGGTGAAGTGCTTCCTGGCACAGACACCTATTAACTTGGCATCTTCATCCAGGCTGTGTGTTGAATATGGAACAAGTGAGAGCTCTGGAGATAGAATCTCCTTTGGCTTGATCACAAATCACAAAGATAATGGCTTTCCACTTACAAAGATTTTTGGAAAGCTATTCTGCTTCTGAGCCAATAACCTATGTTTGGATTTGGATATCTTGCTGTATTTAAAGAGGATGCATGCTTGCTAAATCTTAAAGAGTAACACTATGGTGGAACAGTGTGAAAAAGGGAAATCAAAGTGCTACTTTTGATGAAGAACATGTAATGGATGGCTATAAAAAAACCCACCTCAAGTGGCCTATCACTGTTCCTCCTTGAGTGGTCACAAACTAGAAAACAATATACTCTACCTGCTCTAAGAAATTAATGCGACCAAGAAATATTTCCTGCTTAAAAGACAAAGCTTATGGTTGTATAACTCTGGGACTAAAGAGCTAGTCTGTTTGAAAAAAAAGGCAAATTCCATATTTTGATTTACTGAGCACAGTGTGGACAGTCCAGAGTTGAACTTTGTGCTAATACTTCATTACCACTAGGACTTTCTTCCCACACAACATTAATTATTATCTCAATTCTTGACCAAGATGCGGGAATAACCTCATTAAAGGCATGCAAAACAAGCAAGTCTGTTTGGCCCACCTGGAACACAGAAGGAACTTGTATGCTGACTGAAGTGAGCAAGGAACCTTATTTGTTTCAGTAAGAAAGCAACAGCAAACCAGTTTGTTAAGATAAGGGAGTTTCAATTTTGTATTATTCCATCACCAGGAGAAAGGGGAAATTCTGTTTGCACACAACACTAGAACTGTGGTAAACAATAATGCACTTAAAAGATCCCTGAAAAGAGAACCCAAATTCTGTTGCAAATTAATGGTAGAAATTGAATAGGACTAACTCTTAGTTCTCTCTTTAACTCTCAGCACTTTGAAGGATTGTGTTGATTTACAAATTTGGGCTGGTTCAGTTCAGTGGAGCCTGGACTGTTAACAAAGATCACACTGAACTGGTACAATTCCTGCTTTACAACAGAGACAGTGGCCAATTAACCTGACAAAACCACTGCTGACACACACAACAGCGAGTGCTGTGAAGTATTAACTTCTGCACTATAGACACACATTTTTTTCCCCCAACTGAAGGACTAGCAGACAAAATACAAATCTATAGGTTGCCCAAGGAGGTTGTGAATGCTCCATCCCTGGCAGTGTTCAAGGCCAGGTTGGATGAGGCCTTGGGTAATATGGTTTAGAGCGAGGTGTCCCTGCCCATGGCAGGGGGGTTGGAACTTGGTAATCTTAAGGTCCTTTCCAACCCTAGCAATTCTATGATACTATGACTCTATCTCAGAATAAAAAGTTAAAAATGAAGTTTAGAAGTGTTTAATGAGAGAGATATCTTGGTCACTGCCTTATTTGGCCTTTAGCTGGCAAGCTAGGATTTCTACAGTAGGCAGAGTGCGCTCCATGCCTGCTTGCAGCAACATCTGCTGCTTGGTTTGGTTTCTTACCTTTACTTGCCATGAGTTGAAAGTTATATGTTTATTTATGGAAGAAAAATATTTGCATGCAAGCAATGCTTGATAGCTTTTTTTTTTGACAGATTTCTAACAAATGATGGTGTACAAACAGTCACTGAACAGAAGACTGGGCTGTCAACTAGTTAAGGCAGAATTTATCATTTAGTAGTGATTAGCAGCTGGACAGGAGATAACTAAGCTGTTGTCAGTGCTTGGGCAAGATATTTGTAATTCTGAGCAGCATAAAAGGTTTGGTGATTTCACAAACTCATAATAAACCACTAAGGACCCAAGCTCAGGCTAATCCTAAAACATTACTGCAGTGATCACCTTTAATATTTTGTACATTGTATGCCACATAATCAGTGATGCTTTAATATTTTGTACGTTGCCTTTTCAGCAAATTCCTTTTGTTTTTTTTTTTAACTAAAACATCAAACAGAAACAACCCGAACAAAACCAAACCAAAACAAAAAACCCTCAAGCCACCTCTGTTCTTTTGGCTTTAACTTCCCATTCTGGATTTAGTGAACTGGAATTCTGTTATGAAAATTAAGTTATCTTTCATGAATCAAAGCCACAAAAAAAGGAAAACCCATGTTAAAACCAAGCAAACAAAACCCCCAACACTGCAGTAAGTGCTGACTTCTTGGTGAATAAATATCCAATGTGAAAGCACAGTTATCACCTCTTTATAATAACTTTTCTAAACAAATGTTTTCTAAAACATTTCTAAACTTTTCTAAACATGTTTTCTAAACTACCACAGCATTCATGTAGATGGTATTTTTTAAAAGGTACTTGTTTTGATACATACTCCCAATAAAAGAGACACATGCCTCAAAACACATTTGTTTAGATTAATTACTGACTCACGTATTCACAGAGTTGTTAATTCCACCAAGTAAAACGTTGCCCCATCACTGCCCCCAAACTTGTAGTTAGCAAACACTACTTTCTTAATAGCAGAGACCAATAAAAACAGTTTGAAAATGGTACTGCAAAACTTGCAATAAAACCAGGAGAAATTCCACACTGAAACAATCAGAGCAGATCTCGAACATGTGTACTTATAAGGGGGATATAATAACCCAAAAAAAAAGATTGGTGTGTGTTTGTTTACAAGTCTGAGGGCTAAAATCTCATTTGCTCCCAAGGATATGCCTTGCAATTCTACCTAAGTGAGCTCAGGGGGGCAGACAGCACCCAGACTGTCAACACCAGCATTGCTCATCTCAGTGAAGGCAGCTGGCTTCACAGACAGCATTTTCAGCTGAAGCTCCTCTACCACAGCGAATTCTCACCTGGCAAGCTGTGGATAGCATCCAACTCAGAACACTTCTGGATGGTGCAAATCAACCAAGGAAATAAAATAAATAGCTCACGATGTACAGATAATGCTTTAAAAACTGCTACTACTGCACAAACAGATGGTATTTTATAGCTCCTCCATAGTTCTAGTTCCTAGAAATCAAATTCTGAAAGAAAACAGCATTATATAACTCAGTGACTGCAGCGTCAGCTCTCTGATGATTTCTGGTCATATCCAAGTCCCCTACAAAGGAAATTACATACACAAGGAGCTTAAACACAACTTGCTCAACCAATTTGTTGAATTCCCACGTGTATTTCTGCAGCAAAGTTTTGCTACATATAATTGAATGGAAATTTTTCTATCCCTAAACATAAAGACGGTAATTTAATATAAAGCTTACCTAAAATTCTGTGCCAAATCTAGATGAAAAGTTTCCATAGAGCTGAAATAAAAAAGCATTGATTTCAGAAGGAAAGTTAAAGCAATAAACAAAGCACCCTGCCAGAATTCCAGTTATCATTTTAAACTTTTCTATTACGTAGACTGCAGGACCAGTAATCGCGCTGCATCCTTGATCAGCTTCAGACAAACTTTGTTTGAATGGGACTTATCTGCACTTTTTGCTTGGAAGAAGCAACTAGTCACACAGAGATACAAACATCCCTAAAGAGTAACAGATGATAATGCAGTCAAGTTGATGTCTGTTACAGGGAAGTGTTAAACAATCCAATCTTACCTTGGCAACATGAAAAAGCAATTTCAGAACTCTAAAACTCACTTATGGCTTCATCTTATCTGACCACACAATACAAAGATTAAAGAAAGAAAACTAACCCAACAACCCCTCCCCAAACAAATTTGGGGCCTATTTTTGAAAATGCAATTACAGAAAATCATTCAGCAGTTCAAGCAACTTTTGTGTTTACTTGTATTGCAATTTCTCTATCACAATCATGTATGACAACTCTCAAGATTGCTTACTTTTGGAAAAAGTAAAGAAATCTGCAGCATGGATTTATTTGCCTGTGATGCTCACAAAGCTCCAGTTACCCATTATCCAGAGTAATGATAGGAGAGGAACAAAAAAGTTATTATTAACAAACCAAAGTTATGGGTCTCAATAGTTCAACCTGGACTATTTTTATTCATAATCAATTCTATATATCATTTTGTCAGTCCTGCAGTTGAACAGCTCTGTTATTTTAAATATTTATTTTTTTCAAGATGAAATAATATATCCCCTGATTTCTATTTTGCCCATTAATGGTCACACCTCTTCAAATCACAGGTTTAGTCTGATATGACCAAGGAAACCATTTGTCAACTGACTCCAGCTTATTTTTTTTCCCAAGGAAGAACTTTCTTCCTACAACCCTTACAGCCACTTCCCAACTTACAGACGTGAATAAAGGGTGACTTTTATTCTCCCTGCCCTTTTTTATATAAATCTGATCAAGATTTAAATGAGACCACTGAAGATACCTGAAGAGGGGATTAAAACCTGAATGCTCACACAAAACATGTACCTGCAAACTCTTTTTGGTTTGCTAGTTTTTCATGTATTTCACTGTATGATTGAACAGGCATCTGAAGAAGAGATAGGAACTAGAATAATCTAGCATTAAAAGTCTTTGCAAAGCCCACACTACGGTAGGAGAGCCAAAGGCTATGACATTTCTTAAGCCACTGAGAAATGCAAGTTGATTATAAAATTCTGACAATAGGAGTGAATGGCCTGGAAGGACTCTCTTGAATCTTTTGGCAAGAAAGTAAAAAGGGAATACTGCGAACAAATTCTCCTATGGAGAAAATCAGAGGAAAAACTTAAAAGCCTTAAGGTTATTGCACAGAAATTGCATTAACTTGATTCTTTGGTTACTGTCCTGCAGCATCCTCTGAAAAGGCAGGAAAGTGAGTAAGGAAACAGTGTATTAGAATCCTATTAAATTGTAGCACCTGCCTCCCACAGTGGAAAACTCCTTGAGAAAGGAGGTATTAGAAAGATACATGCTTCCTAAGGGCAAAGATAAATCCAGAGGGAACTGAGGGAATGTGGTATCACCAGATGTAAAAAAAACTTTCCAAAGCCATGCTTACATGGGTGGTATCACCAAAAGTAAATCCAGAGGGAACTGAGCTCTCTGGATCACCAAATATACCGGAGATTTCTTTATAATAAAACAGGTTTTCAAACAAATGGTGAAAGGCAATTCTATGGGTCTGATAAGAATGTGCGCCCTGGAAACACACTGGTTGAGGACAGAGTGTCATTTCAAAACAGATGACAGGAAAAGGGCTCCTCAGATATTGTCTTGAAATCCTTAAAACTATAAAAATAAAAAATGAAGAACTCTTCCCAAATACTAAGTTTGAGGGGCTGGAGAAAGTCATGGCAGATGCTAAAATCCCATGCATTAGACCCTCACTCCACTGGCGGAGAAAACCAGAGTTGTTAATCTAAAACACAGTCCATGAGTGCTAAGGTGTGATGCTCACCTGTCTGGACACAAGGAGATGTACAGCAGAATGAGAAGCACTGCTCCTACTACAGTTGCCAGCAGAGATCGCATCCAGGAGCTAAGCTGGCAGAAGTTACAGTACTGCACAATGGTGATGAGAATCGCACAACACATAAACATGGTGTACTGCAACAGAGAGAGAGAGCACGAGTTAGCGTCTTCTGCTGACTGGAGCCCTCCTGCACATAAATGCCAGTGTAAATTAAAGAATGTGTGATATGAAAGAGAAGGATCCGATTTTGGTTGTATTATATGCATGGCAAGTAATCCCTCACAGTGTCTGCATCAGGACACAGCATCCGAAGATGGAGAACTTCCCTTCAAAGAGCAAGAAAACTTTTAGCACAGGTAGTTCATCACAATTTTCTGTAGATGGACTTTTATATTACTGCATTACATAACCATTAGTTCAGTAACTTTCAATACCTTCAGTTTACCTTTGCAAAAGGCTAAGTACGTCTTCTTATCAAAAAAAGAAAAGAGAGAAGAAGGAAAGAAAAGGAAGTGGAAAGGAGAAAGGAAAAGGAAAGCAAAAGAGAAAGCAAGAAAAGCAAAACAGAGGAAAAAGATAAAAATAAAGAATAAAAAAAAGAATATAAAAAAAGAGGAAGGTAAACAGTTGGTAACCTCCTCTAAGCTGCTGGGGTTAGGCTGTCTATTTTTAACCAAACATCAAAATTCCACTGCATTGAAAATGTGGAGCACATTAACCCTCAGAAACTTCATCTAACTGCCTACTTTTAAAAACACTTTTTAAATGTTGTTATCACACCTGCCAGCAACAAGTGCATTCAAATAAGAAAAAAATCTGTGTTGGTAACAAAAGACTGGGATCAGTCATTGTCAAACTAATGTCTGGTAACACACTCACTTGTGCCAATTTGAAAGGAGCATTTCAGATTTTCTGTTCCAAATGCTGCATCTCAAAAATCTTTTCCCTTTCCACATTTTCACTGGATAAAGAAAAGGAAGCGCAGGACAGATATATTCCCCAAATGTCTTAATTTTCCCAAGATACAATCCTATAGTGGTCAAAACTCTCAAGCTGATGTGGAAATTTGGGTTTTATCAAGAATATTCATGACCATCCCAACTAGAACAGAAACTTCACAACCATATTATGGATTTCTGTTCTAGCTACATATGGCAGTTTACAGTATCAAATGATCATTCTCTCACTTTTTCTCTCATTTTAAATTTCCTATACAGCTGAAGTGCAGGGAATGCAGATTAGCAATTCTGTAGCATAACAAATAAGCATGTGATTCAGAAGCAGACAGAGTGTATGGAAAAACACCCTTACATAAGTCACCATTTTTAAACCACAATCACATTTGTTGTTTTTCTGAATGACCCAAAAATGGATAAGAGGAATTTCAGAAGTGTCCATAAACCCCCAGAATTTGAACTTACTTTTTTCCCCCCATTTCAGGTCTCCTAAAGTGGCAGAGCATGGGTTCTTACTCCAAGTGACGCCCCAGCACGGAGCCAGCCTATAGAGGGTCAGGAAGCGCTGTGTTTTACTATGTAAGCATGGCTTTGGAAAGTTTTTTTTTCATTGCTGCTTTGGTTATTTTTGATCTTAATTATTTTAAATCCAGGGAAGGTATAAAATGCTATGAATAAAAAAAAACTTTGCAAAACCATGTCACAGTAAAATATGACACTTACCTGACCCTCTATAAATTGACTTCATTTCCCAGAGCTCCATGACTGTTGGAACACTGAGCACAAGATGAGCTGGGACACCTCTTGGGAAGTAAGCCAACAGCCCCACAACTTAAGAGGACCTGCAATAGGAAAGAAAGCAAAGTTCATTCTCAGTTTGGTTATAAACACCACCACCTCGCTGCTGCTGCCTGAAGCACTCAGACTGGCCACCTGATCTGAGCAGGCATTGAGAATACACTAAAGATGGTTCTTCCAACACTTTTTATAAATGTTTGGAGATATGACCAAGGACGGTGGTGAATGGGATGATAACAGAGTCAATGGACAGATCTGAAGGTTTTCACCTCCCTTCAGTGTGAGGAAAACATTCCCACAATTAACGTACTGGTGGTCATAAGGGAAAAAGACCATCATTAAACTGAATAAATAAACAAATAAATAAATTTTACAGCTTAAAAATGGTTAATTGACATTCACAAAAGGTAAAAGCTGCAAATGATTTTAAACACTCAATGTGGAAGAATATCAAATGCAGTCCTCTGTGACTGGTAATCATGGAATATCTGTTTAATTTGGGAAGGACCAAAAACCGTCTGGTCCATATGCTCCCACAGAACAAACACTTCCCAATACCCTGTAATAAGCTGTGATAGGAAGAATGAAGAGGATCTGGTCACTACCTACACCCAGGGGCCTGAAATAGCAAGATGTTTGTGAAACAGAATTCCCTGAAGATCCAGGAAAGGAAGGATGTTGCACTGTGTTACCTAAGAGAAACTTGCAGAAAACCGAACTTTCAGCTCCAGTTCCAGTCCATTTTATTCACAGAGTTTTCAAGCATCAATTTTATGCTACAGTTAGCCTTTAAAGTATTCTATTCTTCCCTTTAGTTAATATTTAACCCCTTGCTCCCCTCTTCTGACTGTTTTTATTAAATGAGACAACAAATCCCCTGTGGACCTTTCTGTGGCTGGGCTAAATATGCCAACTTCTTTCAATTTTTTTAAACAGACAGCTATTGCATTCCTTTAGCCATTCCTGCAGCTCCCGCACAGCACAGTAATCATTTCTATGTGCTGTCTTCTCCTTCAAGTTCCTCCATCTAACTCCACAATGAAAAACATCCCCTGACAGTACTGCTGTCATTGTTGAAATTCGCTAACGTGCAGGCAAAATTTTAAGTCATACACAGCACCTCCCACTATAAACTCTAAATCAAACCCAGAAACAACACAATGACAAGACTTACGCTACTTGTATTATCTAAAACAACCACCTGCAGAAAGGGTTTGGTCTAAGAAAAAGTAAAAGTATGTATGTAAGCATGTACGTAGGCAGGCATTCAGAGGCATCCCTCTCCTCTTTTGTACGAGAGTTTTCAAATAAGCAAGTGACTGTATTTACATAACAAACTAGGCATTTCATCACACACAAAACCCTATCCCTCTAAGGGATCTGTATCAAACAGATGTAAAGCACGAGGGAGGTGAAGGGAGACAGCAGGCAAGCAACAAGCTTTGTTAGATCCAAAACGTCAGATTATGAAACGGAGTTCGACAACTTACATGTATATTTGTTTCAAAATCAGAGGTGAAGTGTGAAAAAACTGCAAGAGCTGGGAGAGAAACCAGGATTGCACCGAAAAAATGTCGAGGCAGCCAGCCAGATATCACCTCCAGGAGACGCTTGGTGCAAGTCATCACCTCCTCCAGAAAGAACGCCATTCTGGAACAAAGGAAAGCCCAAAGCCAACATTAATTTCAGCCCATCACTTTGTACATCTCATTTACCTGTAATAATATAACTTCAAATCCTTCACTTAGACTGCATGAGCAATTCCAGCACATTACACACCAGAACACCTGTTGGTGAATTCAGGAAATGATCCACCTTTGCTGGAAGATGACTGGTTGGTGGCTCACAAGGGGTGTCATCAAGTGGGATGGTGGGCTTGGAGGAAACAATCTGAAATCCAAATTTCACTTACTCGGGATGCAAGCATAGAGAAGATTTCATTCATAAATATTTAGCCTTAAATCAGGTGGGGAGAGGGGAAAGCTTTTACAAGTTAAAAAAACCCCATAACATAACACCCGAAATGTTTGAAAAAGAAGGCTTTATGCCCTGCTAAGAGCTCAGTCACTCAGAGGCTGTGCAATTCCGTGCCATCTTCACATTCTACTGTAATCAAAACCAGTTCTCCCAGTTACAACCACTGAGACAGAAGTTCCTGTCTGCAATCAGACTCTGTTCCCTCTCATTAGGGAAGGGGAAGAGGAGTGTGGGCTGAGAGCTGGCACCCTCAGCAGGCAGCAGAGTCTGAGAAGCAGTTGGGATGAGCACCTCGGGGGCCAGCTGGCACGCTCCTCTGCTGCCTGTCGGGATCTATCACAGCAACCCAGTTGGCTCCGCACAAGGCACGCAGGAAGGAACGGTTCTTGCCTCAAGCTGCTGATACAGTGACGGCCCAAACCTGTGAAGTGCTGAAGGAGCCAACTGGAAGAGCTCTGAGAGCAGCTTAAGGAGATACTTCTTAAATGAGAACATTTCTAATTGTTAAAATGAATAAGGAAAGGTAAAAGGACACTTAATGCTCGAGGATATGGCATAGAAAAAGGTTATTTATCTACAAAAACAAATCCTCAGGAAAACTTCCTTCTTACAGCTCAAAAACATTACTCACTCCAGAAAAATTCCAACTGCAGTTCAAGTTTCTAATTATTTTTATGAAGCCATAAAAAGGTAACATAGCACACTCACACTTCATTCAAAGCCACCGCATGTGGATGTATGTAATTATCAGAATCAGTCTAGGCAGGTAATTCTGCTTTTGTAACAGCAGACTACAGTAGAGCCCAAACAGTAAATAATAAATACAACATACGCTAAATATGAAATTCACCATCGCTAAAGTTACACAACTTATTCCGTATCACCTACAACTTTTAAAAGAGGAAAAGCTACCCACTGATTTTTTAACACTGTTATCTAAAATACAAGGTATTACTCTGGATAAAAGCTTGACACAAACCAGAATAAATTTTAAGTTCTTTATGTGAATCTGACACTTATTCCACGGCTTTAAATATGTATTGCTTATGATCGATATATTAATTCTTTGGTCCAGACTGCTGAGAATTTTAGGACCCCGAGCATTTTTTTTTTTTGAAGCTTGGAGAGCTCTTCTCTGATTAATATATTAAAATCTGGAAATTACACTTAAATGAATAGAAAAATATAAATTCGTGGTAGCAGGATTAAGACGCTGTAATACAGCAGGACTCCACGAGAGGGTGCTCACAGATTTGCTAGCTCCTAGTTTAACTGACTGCCATTTGCACGAAAAATGACAGCTATATTCCATCGTAAGAAAGAATTTCTATAGCACAGAAATTAAAAAAGCATATAAAGCAAAATAAATTAAAAAAACTCTATAAAAGAATTGTTTTTTTCTGAACTGTTATACACTGTCCCAACTCAGTTGCCTCTAACATCAGTGACAGAACTGTGCCTGTCTTCAGTGGCAGCCCAGTTTACCCAGTAACAAATACTTCTGAAAATGCCACTCGAGTTCATGCCTCTGAAGATTAGTATTAGCATTTACATGGCTGAACTATGAGAAAGGAATCACAGAATCACAGCCTGGTTTGGGTTGAAAGGGACCTTAAAGTTCATCCAGTTCCACCCCATTGCCACAGACAGGGACACCTTCCACTAGAGCAGGTTGCTCCAAGCCCAGCCCAACCTGGCCTTGAACACTGTGAAGGATAGGGCAGCCACAGCTGCTTTTTCAAGGAAACCAACCTGGGCCACAAAGCTGAGCACTCGTGGGGTCAGGCTGCATTCCGGTGCTTCCACTGGCAGCTGGGTGGGAAGCCCAGAGAAGTGGGATCTGAGGAGGCAGATCATCGACACCTCTGCCCACGCTCTACGTGATGTTCCACATCGCTCCCATGCAGGCTGGCACAGCTCTGTGGCACGCAAATCGTGGCAGATACCCAGTGCAGCTCATGTCTCTCAGCACATGTTGCTGCACCACGGAGCCCCAACCCACATAACAGGGGCTCCGTGGTGCAGAAAGCTTTTCTAGTTTTAATGGTTTTTGCCAAGCCTCTATGCCAGGACAAATTCTTGTGGGAGCTATAGCAACAAATCCTGCCATGAGGACACTTCTTTATTTAGGCAGCTGTGTGCTTCAAAAAAGCTACTGCAAATTCCAGGATAATGCCACATTTCTTGTGATAATGTTTTACCTTCTTGCATTGATATTTTTATCTCCGCCTCTGCCCCCCCCCCAATATTTATCACAATCTTCTGCACTCTGGAATTACAACAATTGAAATATCATCCTTCACAAAACAGCGAAAGCCTGGGAATACAGCACAACCCTTCCATTGCAGGAAGTAAGAAGTGCATTAAAACCAGACAGCAAGGAGAGCTGCAGACAGATTTAATGGCTACAGGGCACTATCAGTAAATAATGCAGTGTCAGTGGGTAGCTCAACAGGGCTTAAATGCTAAAGCATCCAAGATGTTTACACAAGCTGGAGTTCAAATTAGTAAGTTTGACATAAATGATTAATGGGTAATGGAGGATGTTATCATCATTCCTGTATTTACTGGCAGTTTAAAATCAATTCCCATAGTTCACATCAAAAGCTTTTGGCACAGCAGCAGTTTGGTGGGATATTAAATACCAAAGCCACAGATGTTAGAAATAAATAAAGGCGAACAGAATACATTGTTTTCCCTTGCATCAATACTCTGTATCAGTCATAGCATTAACAGAAGCCGTTCACCACGCTCTAGTTGCAGAAAACAATTTCAGTTCCTGGTCATTTGGAATTTCAGGAGAACCAACTGGTTTGCCACAGGGTCTTGGCTATGGACAGACCGTGGGCTCTACTTCAGCAAACCCAGGAAGTGCCAAGCAAAGGGCTGTTTTGTCAGACAAGAGCAGTTCCCCATTCTACCGTTTTGATTGTACTTGCTTTCTTTATCCAGAAGATAATTTTTTTGCTCTCTAGAAAGGTTCTTCAAAATTCATGAATCAACTTATGCAGTGCTCCCACCTCTCACTCTTTTGAACAGTGCTGAAACATCCACTACTGTGGCCCCACTTCACTGAGAAGTCCGCACTGAAGGATGTTATCTAAAGCAACACTTTTTTTAAAAGCAAACTTATTTATAACAAATCTCACTTGAGAACAAGAACTAAATGTCAGAAGTATCTAGTTAACAAAAATCCTGTATTTACAGCTAAAATAGTGGACAGATGTTGGCTGGAAGTAGATGATCTTAATGTCCTTTCCAACCCAAACCATTCTTTGTTCTACGTCTTTTACCTGTACTCCTGCAGAAGGAAGCACTCCTAAGAATCCCAAGTGAAACCTCACATGCTGTTGGATGTTCAATGACATTTCCCAAGGTACTTTTAAAAAACAGTAGAACTTTAGGACTTCTTACCCTTCACCTGCACTCATGAAAGTCAAAGGAGTCACATTTCAAGCAGGCAGGACGTTCTTTGCACTACATTTACAGAACAGGAGATGGCATCTCCCACATGCTTACAAATGAAACGGCATTATTTGTGCGTAGCTTTATACAGGTAATTTTAGAGTGGCACTTGTGAGAACAGTTGGATCCTCATCTACAGATACTCCAATAACTTATTATGAGACACTTCAGAGGAATCAAAACATCCTTCTCCCTTGTAAGCTTTGCTCCATGAGGACCTCTCTTCCAGAACTTAGAAGTTTCAACTTGTTTCACATTGTACGACCAGCGATAGAGCTCTCCCCTCCCACTCCTGCAGCTGGACTAAAGCTCTGAGCCACAAGAGTGAGTACTTCCTAGGCTAAGTCCTGGATTCAATTAAGAGTCAGACTGATTTAAAGACAGGGTGTTTCACATCAAGACAATGGAAATACAATAAGAAACTTAGGCAAGAATTTTCTGGTCCTAAAATAATCCCTTTTCCTGAAATTCTGGGATTGTGCCCAGCATTGTAATCCAACCTCCTCCCTTAAGATATCTCAGTGGTATTTTGTGATTGTCATTTGGGATGACATTTCTGCACAGGAAGTTCTGCACCGTTTCTGTGAGTAATGAGCAATCAGAGTGAGCAGCCCTCGCTTTGAAGAGGAAAAAGATGATTTTCTTCCTTGTGCTCAAGGGAAGTACACAGAAGCGTGTGTCACAGGTTGTGGAGCCCTGAGCAGTCCAAAAGCATATTTTATGTATTTACTATGAAGTAAATACATATAGGAAATTCAAAACAAACAAGAAAAAGCCCTCCAAGCCAAAACAGATAGCTTTTCCTACAAAATCACCCTCTGCCCCCCAAATATCATATTGCCATTACATTTAAAACTGAAAACCTACCAGAAAGCTTCTAAGATCTTTCATCTACAAATTGGTGTACAGTATGAGGCTATTTTCAAGAAGGTATCTGAGTAAGACCTGCTCAGATCTGAGATGATCCTGTTTCATACATTAAGAGATTTGCTGAGGTGTTACCTTAGGTGTGATCAGAGTTAAGCCAAATTACTAATTATATCTCATTAGTATAGGAAGGACTGTGAATGTGAGCCCAGGGTAGCAAGCTCCTGGGCTTGTAACTGTGGAGTAAATACACAATAATTTGAAGACACTTCCCTCCCACCAAAAGAAAGGAGCAACACATCTCTCACTTGGACAACAAGGGCTCCAGCAGCAAAGAATACATGGTGACTTGATTCCTTAGTTCCTACTCAACTGCCAACCTGATGGAGAGGTCAGGGAAGGGCAGCCATTGCTTATCCCATCCAGTGATTTTCATTTCCCAAACTAACCAGGAGAATTTGTGGGGTCTTAATCTTAATGGTCAGCTTGACTCCAGTGAGTGCAGCAGGTGCTAGTGACCCCCAGTCATCTGCACCCACAGTAGTTGTGCAGGAATTGCAGTATTCCATGTGCCCAAACCTGTGAGTGCTCCTTTGGATGAAGACAGTCCTGCATGTATCAGTATAGTGTTTACTGAAAACCTGTTATTATTACGCCAGGTGGGATGATGTGAGTTCTGATGGCTGGCTACTGGTGTTCTCCACAGGGTGAGATGTTTCTCAATCCATTTTTCAAATCAGAATTAAGCACAGAAGAATGATTAGTATTAAAAAATATATTCTTCTAAGACTTAGGAGTCATCCTGAAACACTTTCTTTTTAATCTCACTGACTTTAAATGAGGCACCCAAGCCAGCTTAGGCAGTAAAATTTGGGCTTTAAGCCAACATAGTCTCATGAAAATATTAGAAATGTCAGTGGCAAAACCAAATAGTGTTAAGAAAACACTATAAAGCCACTTAAACTCACCTCGGTGACAGCCCAGGTTCACTACAGTATGGCTCTCAATAACACAGTGCTGCCATGAGGTTAAACCCCTGTACAGCCATACACAGCTCAAAAAGACAAAACCTCTTTGTGAATTCTTGACTAAACAGATAGCCTATTGAACACAATTTTCCTTCTCCTTAAGAAACCCATAAACTACCAATTACAGAACAGGACTGAAATAAAACCCTATGTACCTCCATACAAAAAGTTCAGGATTATAGTAATAATTTTTTTAAATGTACAAAATAAAAAACGCAAATTCAAAGTAGTATCAGGAACAATAATGAATTGAAAAATACTAAAATGGAGTAAACATTTACCTGCAAGGTGAATGAATTTTCTCCAAACATACCAGGAGAGCAGAAACTAACTCTTCTGCAAAGTGGTGGCTGAGTTAGCCAGAGCTGAATAAATTCAAGGTACAATGCCAGGCTCACTGAACCCAGACTAGCTGCTCACTGCTGCCTTCCTACTCTCCTACTGGTGCCATTGAAGAGCTGCTTGGCCACATTAAACTGACAAAAAAAACTTCCCCCCCCTACCTAAGACAGAGTACAGACATTGTTTTGCAATGGGGAAAATGTATTTCTGATGTAAGAGAGAGGACAGAGCAAAAGATAATCCAGTGTAGGATGCACTAGAATGACAGTCCTACCAGTTCAACTATCTCCCAGTACAGGTCTTAACACTTTCTGACTGCCTAGAATTTCTAAGAACTCCAGAACCACAACACTGTTCAAACTGCAACTCTCAAAGACACCTGGTAAGAAATACTACCCTTAAAAGCATTTCCACTGTTCTTAAATGACCTCTGTCTACTCCCACATGCCAACTTTCGTGTATGTATGCATATACATTTATACACATGCTGAGTTAAAAGCTTGTGTCAGTGGCTTAAGTACTAATTGAGTGTTTTTTACCTTGACCCTGAGAATCCAAAGTAAGAGTGCAAACTGCAATCTCTTGTTCCTTTTTAAACAACAGCAGAATGGCTTCTAACTTGTAATTACAAAACCATTTTAACTTACCCATACCTGACAGATTTGCAGAACTACATGTAGGACATGTGTTTCCACGCACCAACCTTTCCCCCATGCTCTTGTGCTGGAGAAAAGTGCAGTGAAAACAGGGGATGAAGAGAGCAGAATAAAGTTGCTCTCACAAGAATAGACAAACAAGCAACTTACTATTAGGTCTGCCATCTGGGTTAATAACAGGCTACATGTGGTATCTGTATAAATCAGACAACACACCCAGGAGAGCGTGAGTTTACGGAATACTTGTACAGGCGTTACCTCCAAGGGCACAGGAGGGGTTGAGGTGCAGGGGTTGCAAGGACACCTTTAAGGATCCAGGGATAAGATTCTTCACTGCAGGCTGTGAAGAGCCAGCATGGGGCTGGCGCTGCCTGCAAAGCCACCCTTTCTGCAGGGACAAACCAGTGCCACTTCCCTTCTCAAGGACTGCCACACAGCCCAGGAGTCAGGGGAAATGCTGAACTCCAATTATGTGTAGAACAGGGAAAACAAAACTGTTTGACTATTAAACCCATGAGACTTGAAATAGAGATCATAAAGAGAACTAATTCTAGACAGATGCAATGTGACTTTTCTTTTTTGTTCACTTTTTTTACTTTTCTTGTTCATTTGCTTTGAGAAAAGGACTATTCTTTGCATTTCTGTAAAATTATTTCAGTTTTAACACCAGAATGGTGTTCTTTTAGCTGGGAATTTTAAGTTTTTATTTTAAAGACAGGTAAGTTTTCAGTTTGAACTCCCTCACTCTGAAGGCCCTGTGACGGGAGAAGGTATACAGCTGTGTGTAGCATCACAAGGAACAATAAAAGGCAGGCATGGTGTGCAGATTCTGTTTCCTTAAGTGGCCTCTATCAGAGTCACCTTTTTCTTGTGTAATTTCTGTAGCTAGACCTCTCTTTGCACAGGATCTGCCTTAAGCCTTCTTGGCTTCACTAGCACTGTTCTCCAAATATAACAAACCGTCCAAGTGAGTTCCCAGGATATTGTCAAACAAAATGTTCCCAAGCCAGCCACCATTTCAGTTCTCACTACTATTTCAAGACTTTCTTATGCTTTATTTACCTAATTGAGATGACAAGGGACAGCACCTCTAGCAGGATGGCGATGATGAACACCACAACTGCTCCGGGTGGTGGAGGGGATGTGACCATCCCGTGTTTCAGGAAACATGTGATAGAGAGTATAAGGAAGACTGTGGTGGAGAGGAACACATCCAGGAGCGAGCTGAAGGTAGCACTGGCAAACGTCTTCACTGGAGCATTCCTTATAACCTGTGTGGAATACAGGGATTGAGGGAAGGGATGAAAATGAATAAATGCTATTTTGCTGAATTTGACTGTGCCATAAACAGGAGCTCACAAAACCAAATAAAGGAATACAGAACATTTTGCTGCTTCATTAATCCAGTGTAAGTAATGATTTGAAACAAGAGATAGCAAAGGTAGTTCAACGGCCATCAGCTTCCTGAGAATAAGTCTGCGTTGGAAAAAAGCACTGGCAGCATAGCCCTTTGGTCTGGGGTGATTTTTGCAGAGTATTATAATACAGAAATAAACCATATGAAAAACATCTATTCTATGCAAGGAAACATAAACCCCATAATTACTAGGAGATAAAAGTTGTAAGAAGTTTTCTTCAAGGATTTTAATTTAAAATAATATTTCAATTTACAATATGCCTTTAAGCTCCGATGGTCGCTTAAATAAACCCTCCAAACACCACCCTACAATCTCTTGCCCATGGCAGAGTTCATATCTCCCTTTCAGCCCAGAATAAAAGCAGCCATCAGGAAGCTATGTAATCTGCATTGATCAGAGCCCAGGACATCAAGTTCTGTTCTTCCATAACCCCTCACCACACATTCCCATCCCATCTAATTCTGGCTGCACTGCTGTGCAGCTGTGCTGTGTGCTCCTTTGGCCAGTCCAGCTGAGAACGAGATCATGAGCTTCACAACCTGGCTTACTTAGATTGGCTCAGTTTTATGAGAGTTTATGGCTGCCCAAGGGATCACAAAGAGCAAGTTCCGAAGAAAAACAGAAAGTATGTTATCAGTATCACCATGAAGTAGCTCAGTTTGAGTATTCTGGTTCAACTGGGAATTTCTTTTGCTCCTCAGAATGCTATCTGCACGTAGCAATATTGGGAATATGAACCTGTTCCTCACCTGTACCCTCTATGCAACATAATAAATTCAGCCAGCATCATTTCAGTGCCAAAATTACCTTTTAATGAGAGCTGTAGCATAATCCTGTTAGTTCACACAAAAAGTCACATCAATTGAATTAAGGAAAGCATCGCTGTAGCCTGAAGTGACAGCATTAAAGATGCCCTAACAGTGTAAAGTAGTGCATAATTTCCAAACAAGAACAGGCTAAGCAAGCTCCTGGGCAGCAGAGCTGCTTACAGACAATGATCACAAACACACATGCAGCCAGTTTAGAGGTCAGTTCAGTCCTGTTGGAAGTTACTCTCAGCAACAGTTTACTGCAAGGCAATTAAAGAACTAGGAGTGCTGACAAATCATTTCACTCTCCAAGGGAAGATTTTGTTGTTCTGGACCAGTTTCATGCTAATATTGAGGCTTTAACAGGTTTTTGCCCAGTGCTGCAGTTACTGCTAGAGAATGAAGATTCCTGTTTCCAGGCAGTTCTACATAATTTCCAAATTAATAGTTTGGCACTAACAAAATGCACAGACCACGGTCCTGCTCATACTAGGAATTTCCTACATATCTCCAGTAATAGTCACGCATATATAGACTGACCTATCACTGCTTCACTTCTCTTTCCAATCTTTCCATTGAGAAGAACTTGATTTACTGTTTTCTGTATAGTTTGTGCATATTTTGCAGGCTGTCTCCCATGGGTCATTTCTCTCAGCTACTGCTACATCAGCTTTATTCAGAGAGACACCACTAGAACACAGCTCTGTGGGATGAGTACGGAGCTCCTGAACAAAGTCAGCAAACTGAACAGCAACACAACCATGCTTCTCTTTGTTATTAAGAAAAAACAAACCCAAAAGGTTAAATCTCATTTGTAATCACTGGAAAACAAGCAAATATCTACTGATATGGAAAGCCTGTGATATTATTAGCTGCCAAAGGAAGTAAGGACTTTTTACACTCAGTGTAGAATACTGAAGAAAGTACCAAGTTTCTTACAATTTATTCACTGTTCTCAGAATTATGCAGTGATTTGAAATGCCTGTTTCTAAATGCAGCACACTTAACAGAATTTAGGACATTTGAGTTCAGAGCAGGTTTGGGTTCCACAGAGACAACTGTGAGACTGTGACATGAACAAGGATCAAATTCAGTTACCATTCTGAAAGTTAGGATATTTGATGAGAAGGCAAGTAGCATTTGGCCCTAACCAACCTGAAAATGGAGAACAGGCAAGTGAGAAGTATTTAGTGTATTATATTAGCGTATCTTGGTGGACTGTGAGAATGCACTTCTAGCCCAAATGTTAGACTAGACATGGCACAAGACAGGTAAACTGGAAGGAGACTGTTTCCAGAGGTAGCAATAACAAATAGTAAATCACATTGGACATTTCATGACCCTTGCCATCAACTGCAATGAAAAGTGTTAAAAACAATGTAAGATAGTTGCTTAGACAGATTAAAAAAAGAAACCAATGCTGAGAGAAACATACCTCTTCCTGATAGCTCGTTCTGTAGGCCATCTCCAAATCCTGATCCAAGAAGTTCAGGCTCAGCTTGTTAATTGGTGGTTTAAAGAAGTAGTCTTTCATGAGGCTAGAGAGAAAAGATGGTATCAACCATCATTTAATTCAGCTATTACTCTTTGAGAGTCCCTCCTTCCATGGTTTCTGTTTCTAGGGATGCTGCTACTTCGTTCTGAAGTTCCTGCTGGTTTTCTTTGCTCTCAGTCACTGAGGTACCTACTTACCCACATTGCTGCTCAGTCAAAGGAAATACTTTACATAAAAAATGACAGAGCAAACTTTCATACTTTCAGAAACAGACTAACAAGTCCCTCCAGAAATCTAACAGCTGTAACCCCAGATGACTACAACTAATTGTAAATAAGCCAGCAAGTAATAAAGGTCAATTGCTGCTACAGAGGCACAGCCTCAGGAGACGTGTGGCTGTGGGGTATTTGTGTCTTGGGTGGAATTCTGTTGTTCAAAGCAAGCCAAGGATGACAAAGGTGACAAACTGTTAGGGGAACAAAAAACCCAACATAACACATTGTCCGTCCCTTTTAGAAATCAGCACCTTCTTGTTATTTCAGATACATTAAAGTAACTCAGTAACTCAACTGGGAACATTCTCAGTGTTAATGATCTCCGTCGTGGAGAAACGGAACCTGAGGAGATGGGTAGATTAAATGTAGTTCTGAAACAGAAGACTTGAAGTCACCAGAATCATCAACAAAGGCACCGACAAATAATGAAGCCAGCTCACTAGGACTAAACAAAGCAGGAGGCAGCATCTACCAGTGGGTGTTTATGCACTCCTTCACCTTCTCTTCCAGTGTCAGGTGCAGAAAAAAAAATCATAAAAGAGACCTCAATCATTAAAAGTTGTTTCTATGCCTCATCCTCTGCAGCAAAAGTGGAACATTTTTGAGTTTTACATTATTTGTCAGAGGTTTCTGAAAGTTTTCTAATGACACCTACAGCACTTGGTGTGCAAACCTTTTCATTCTCCAGCTGGTGTTAAAGAGCTGAAAAGATTCAACTTGCAGTGCACAGAGTGCTTTGTGCCTGACAGTCACAGAGTAAGGTCATGTCTGCTTACACCACTTTATTGCTGGGACCACCCGTCACACTCTCTTCTGTGCCATCATCATCTGAGACTTCCAAACACTGGGTCTTGCTATGAAACTCCTTTCATTCTCAAGCACTTGTTATTTACATTGAACTGGCTGTTTTTGAAATTGGTGCAGAAACAGCTTCTTTCCAAGTGCTTTTTCCACCTTGAAAATTCTAGCACTGGAGCAACAGAGAGGGCTATTTTCAAGTTGATCTCCCTAAGCAAAACCCAGAGATGCACACAAGATCAAATTCTAAGCAGATGAAGAAGCTGAGATACCCCAGAGAGCGAACCTCTGCCTGAATTGCTTTTTATTGGGGGGTAGGGTGGGGGTGTTTCTGTTTTCTTCTAATTTTTCATGAACACTTGGCTAAGAGGTTTTTTGGAAGTACAAGCTCCCAGCACATGACGTCATGTGGGAAGCATTTTTTTCCTTGAGATGCAAGACCAACCAACCACACATTCCTAGACTGAAGCTTGATAAGACAAAAGACTTCAACCACGATTATGGCAGACACTTCATAACCTTGAAGCATTCTGGCCTTGGCTAGAATATTAAAAATATGAAAAACATCAGGATACTGTGGAGGGATGACAGGACACATTCACTTGAGTACTCTTTCCCTCTTTTATTCTTCCGTCCCTCATCTCATCTCTCTTGGATGTTTCTAAGTTCATCTTATAATAAGAATTTTGCAAGCTTTTCCTCTTTCCTTCTCTTTTCTTTTTTCTTTTCTTTTCCTTTCATTTTCCTTTCTCTCTTTTAATACTGTTGAATTCACTTTCTTCCTCCAGAGGAGCTCATGGTGAGGATGGCAATGCTGTGCTGGAGCTGCAATGGTTAAAGGATGTAGGAAGAACAATCCCATTTGTCAGTGCAGCACGAAACAGAACACGTAACACGATGAAACCAGGGCAAATGCAGCATTTCTGATGTCATCCAGCCAAACCATGCCAGACCCACTCCCTGTCCATTGTGATCTGTTCCAGAGAGGAAGATCCCAGTTTAGTTGACTAAACAGAGTCAAGTACATAATCTGCTTCCTGGGAGGTGCTGTGCCTCCCCAGCACAAGTGATTTCTATTTTCCCTCAATCAAGTAAGACTGGGAAGTGGGAGATGAAAGAAACAAACAGATTTTAAAAGTATTTAAACAGGAAATTGACCCAAGCAGGGGATGAAGGGCTGCAAAGAACCCAGCTTCTGGGAGAGCTTGGTATTTCTGCTCTGTAAATCTACAGAGATCATTTGTAAGTACTGTCCTGTACTTTTTCTAAAGGTTTATAACCTAAAGAATGTAATTTTTCTTGGAAATAAAAATCCAAAGAGTGAAAATCCTTTGAGGGTATCCCCAATTAAATTAGTTTAAAAATTTTGCTCTCTTACATTACAATTTTCTTTCAAAATGCACCGTAACATGCAGATTAACATGAACAAAGCTTGATATTTTCAGTGGTTTTAGTAAAGCCAGACTCAAAAAACTATATACTGTTTGACAAATACATATAATCAAGTCGTAAGAAGATGCAAACTGATAACTTCTATGAAAAGGAATCTTGTATAATACAATGACACAAACATGATGTGCTAACACTGCCTTTATTATTACTATTCTTAAAGACAGCTGGAACTGTGCTGAGGTATCTGGTGCAAGGTGATGTCTCAGCATGCAGAGAGATCAGTGGCCACTAGTGAAACTCTCAGCCATACACCTAAACTCTAGAAAGAGGCTGGGAAATGAAAAATATCACCAGTGTCCAGCATTTCAGCTTAGTCAGCCCTAGGCAGCTTCCTAACACAAAGCACGGGCTCCCAGATCTTCCTTAGGATGTGTTTAATTCTTCCCAGATGTACAGGAAGCCGGTGTGGCTAATTTATGCACCTTATCACCATATCTGGGTTAGGTACTTTCTGTTAATAGGAATTTATATCACTGACCAGAACACCAGCATTGTGCACCACATGTGCACATCACTGCACAGTGCTAGGGGAAGCTCACCCCTTGCTGCTGTTGGGTGTGTAGTAACTAAAACCAAAGCAGCAGAACTCCAGTATTATTCTTGTGAACAGGGTTTCACTTCCAATGACCACGGGGAAGTTTGGACTTCACCACCCCTCCCTGAGAAAACTCCAATTTCCCATTCAAACATCCTCATGGATATTAACTTAGTCAAGACCAGCAATTTTTACAGTAGGAGATCAAAAATGTTTTTAAAATGACTTACTACACCACATCGAGAAATGTTAAGAAGGAGTAATGCAAAATGGTAGGCTTAAAGCATTTTGCATAGACCTAATTAATCAGAAGCTTATTTTTGGAAAGTTATGTTTACATGAACTGAACTCAGCAGAGAAGTTTCCCTGGCAACAAGAAATGGCCCACTTAATATGGTAATGATGATATTTAATTGAGACCAAAAAAAAGCCAGGCTTTGACTGATGTAACACATGGTCCTACTTTTTCCAAGTCAGAAAAATTATTGATGTTGTAAATGGAGGAGGAAAGCACCAGGATCACAAGGGCCTGAGCTAGACACCTGCAGCAGAGCAACTGTATAAATTCAGCTACTTCTGTAACTTAAAATTTGCAGCTAGTTACATTTTAAACAAAATGCAATTTGTTCTTGCCGATTTCTGCCCATACTTGGACTTTCCCAGTCTGTATCTCTTCTGATACTTGAAAATATCAGCTAAACGACTATTCTCAGTCACTAATGACAGACCATGCATTGGGGGAAGGGATGAGGAAATGAGACAGACCCTAAATTTTACCTGAAGTCTGAAGAAATCTACAGAAGAGACCAGAGAGAGACTGGTAACTCTCCCTCTCACTTCTCCTTGCTTTAATGAGTTTTTCAGCTAAAACAACAGTGTCCCTGGTTCCAAGCAGCCTGGAATCTAAACAAGCATCCAGTTTCAAGGATATTTCGATAAAATACCCTTAATCTGGGTGGAACAGTGAAGCAAAAAAATTAGAATAACCATGAATAATAATAAACTCAAGTTATCTGTTTAGTTGCTTCAGTCACATCACTGCCATAATAATGGAAATATGGTTGTGCAAGTACAGAAATCACACATTACTGAATTCTGAAGAACATATTTTCCTGTGCCCTAAATAAGGCTTTTGTTTGAAACAGAGAGAGAAGATCTTTACAGAAGAATGAAAGAAGAACTTTACAAAATTATGTAGGTAGGTAGAAGGTGCATGAGAATTCACTGCTATTAATTATGCTTCCAAGTCCAATATGATTTCCAGGTATTAGTCACACAATGCTACCAGATATTGTTCTTTTGCTATACAAAAATGTGAGTTTTTGTAGTTCAGATTTTATTTTACACTTTAAAATGCAGGGGAAGGTGAACACTTCTGTGCAATAAGAGGACTTTTGAATGTAGAGTTAAGAATTCAACTTCATGACAAGTCATTTAAAGAGTACTTTTCCTTTTTGAAGACTTGACTGAAGAATGCCCATTGACTACACAAATGACGAAAAACCTGGCTTAATGTATTCCAGAACATAATGTTTCTGACATCAAGCTCCTACTGTAGTTTAAGCAGAATACAGACTAAGGATCAGAAAACATATGGTATATGTTAACAATAATTATTGATATTGGGCAAAAAGCACACAAAGATTAAAGATATGGGACCCCTGCTACTGACTTCTCACCTTTACACAATTTTATATTGTACAGCTCTAATTTCCTTACCTGTCTTCTTTAATCACATCCACAAAGTGAGCATCTGTCTTCTCTCTGATGTTTTTGAACCTCAAAGGAAGAAGAGCTGACTGATCCAAACTCACTCCACCCCATCTTCCTTTCTCCTGCAACATTTCATAAAGCGAGGTTTGACTATTGCTGAGCTTTTCTTCCTGTGGAGGACTCAGAAGTCCATTTTGAGTCTTTGGACTGTGTCCTCCTGGACCCTGAATGACAGAAAGCAAAATACAACAGGGAACATTAGTGTCTGAGAAAGTAGAAGAGATTTTATGGAGCAAAAGTTGAAAGAGGTTCTTCCCTCAGCACACTGAGCTTCTACCTGATCATGTCAAAGACCTAACCCCACCCGCCTTGAAGTCGTTCACATCTTCTGTAAGGCATGCTGATTTAGGCAGCATCTTTTTGCCTCTCTTTGGAACCAAGGAACCAAGGTTCCAAGAAGCAGAAAACAAAGTGCATTTTAACACACTCAATGAAGACCACCCACAAGCCCCAACTTCATTCACTCATCTTAGAGTCAAGATGCTTCTAAAAAGCTTTTTAAAATCCAACTTAGACTGTGCTGTCTTTCCACAGGTCATGAGACAACTTATTCTGTCAGCCCTTGTTGATCCTTCCACTGACCACTACAGCCCTGCTGCTTTCTCAGACAGAGCTTTCTGCAAATGAAACCATGTTTTCTTCACTAAAACATACTACTTCTTTCTGGCTTTCTTTTGCCTTTGCATTGATTAATGCTGCATTTTTAAATTGTGACAAATGCAAACATGTATCAAACTTGGCACATCTGAATGCTCATCTTCCCCAGCATCTTACCATTTATCATGTAGCATTTATCCTCATCCTGAAACCTACTCATGACAGAAGCTTCTTCATTCCTGCCTGTACAGCAGTCAGCACAACAGTGACAAGCTCCTCCAGAAGAGTATTCTTGGATGCCACCACAGTGACCATAAATACCATAAATGTAATTCACCACCCCAACTATGCACTGAAACATGTTATTTAGACTGTAAAATCAACTTTGCTAAAGTTAAGAAATACCTGGTTTTTCACTGCCCATGCAGAATTAATTCAACCTACTTGTATTATTGATCATAGGATCACAGAATGGTTTGGGTTGGAAGGGACCTTAAAGATCATCTAGTTTCAACCCCCTGACACGGGCAGGGACACCTTCCACTAGACCAGGTCACTCAAAGCCCCATCCAACCTGGCCTTGAACACTGCCAGGGATGGGACAGCCACAGCTTCTCTGGGCAACCTGTGCCAGTGCCTTACCAACCTCACAGGGAGGAATTTCTTCATAGTATCCAATCTACATCTCTCCTCTTTCAGTTTAAAGACATTTCCCCTTGTTCTATCACTACATGCCCCTGTAAAAAGTCCCTCTCCAGCAAACAAGGCATATGAATATAGAGAGGTATAACAAAAGCTGCAGACACAAGCAGTGCAGATAGATAACTAAAGGAGCAGCAGAATGTCACTTCGTGAAGGGAAGAGTCAGAAGGCACTCAGGCTTCACTCCTTTTTTGACTTAGCAATAACTTGCCAAGACCTCCAGACTAAAGGTGTGCTGGAATGGCTACAGGAAAAGCAGGAGGGAGGTGGGCTATGCTTCCCCTTCCTCCTGCCTAGGAGGAATGCAAGATCCCCACCCTGCAGGCTGCCGTGATGGAGCTGTGAGCTCCTAGAGCCGTTTGCTGGGAGCCATGCAATGAAAGGATTCCCAGTCTAGTCCCTTCTACCACTCACAACAGTTGTTTTGGCAGCTTGCAGATATTCCCAGCAGAGTGGCAGCAGATGACAAAGTAGAATAGGAAATTTAGTAGTTACCTTGGTGTGCTGCCAACGTTTTGCTTAAGACCATAATCATCAGAAGAGAAAGGTGATTCCAGCAACACATATCCCAGCAAAAGCAGACCAAAACCAAGTCCCAAGACTGGAGAGACACTTGCGTATGACAGAAGGGGACTCTCCTGACAAGCCAGAAACACAAGAACTTCTCCCATAAAAGGTCACCAGTTTCTTTTCTTAAGGAAAACGTTCAGCAGCTTCAGAGAAAGTCCTCCTGCAACTGTAACAGGTTATCCAGCCTATCCAGAGGGAACAACGCTATGGAGCACAAGACGTGTTGCAGTGCCAGGGTAACCTCTGGTTTTGAGATTAGAAGTATTAACAAAGGAAACCAAAGAGAAATGTCCAAAAAGTTGCTAGAAATTAAAGGTTTTCATTGTTTGGTGGGGGTTCTTTTTAATTCATGATAAGAATTACATTTGCTCAGAGCACTTCCCAGAACTTGAGGCCTAAAAAACAAAATAATGAAGGTCATAGTTATCACCTTTGATTTTTTTCCTGGTAAAGAATCTTTCTCCTTTTCCTCACCCTTGCAGCAGTTGTCATTAGTTGAAAAGCAGTAACCAAAAGTGTAGCATTTTTGCTATGAACATCTCAAATAAAAGCCAAGGGCTCCATGCACTGTTTGCTTTCCCTGTTACTCAAGTTCATCTGGAAAACACAGTGAAAATTCCTGCTCTTTCAGAGAAGGTCAGCATGGACTTCTCTTGGCCTTTTCTCTTTAGCTCCTTGGGAAAGGCTGAAATCCCTAAGAAAATCCTCCCCTTCAGTCAGCTCAAGGCTTTCCTGTGCTGTCTCCACTCTGTTAATCTTTACAGGAGAGGATTAGAGTGTGAAAGTGGTTGCGTGTCAGGAGAAAATCCCTGTTTATTAAACGTTGTTAGCTCCTATGTTACTGTGGTTTCTGATGGCAACAGCCCATATGGGTGTTTTTGAGCACTCGGAGGTTTGATGTGCCATGTGACAGTTTCTTCTCATCAAGAAGAAGCTCCAGAGGCTGTTGGGACCCATGGAGGTCCAAGGACATGGCTAACAGCACTAATGTTTCCTAAGATGGAGGACAAGTGCTACAGGGCCAGGCACAGCATCAGGGCATGGGAAGGGAACAGACTCCAGAGATGGGTAGAGGGAGTTTATGGCTCTTCTCAAGAAAGCTGAGACTGCAAAGAAGATTTGGAAATGAAACACTACAGCAACTTCATGCACATAGCTGCTCCTTAAGCTTTCAGCTAAACAGGCATCCCAGACTTATTGAACAGCCACCTAACTGCTACAATTTTTGCCTTAGCAGTAACAATCAAATCAAAGAAGGATATATGTGATTTGGTCTCTACTTTGTGCTTCTTCCAGTGAAACGACAGACACTTTATTCAGCACTGTGCAGACTAAGCAAGGTTAGATGACTTGCTCATTAACACACATGAAACTAATACACTGTAGTAGGAAGAATCTGACAGGAAAATTCTGATGAAGGTAACACATGACATTGGTACCTCAGGCAAATCTCTGTTTGCAGTCACTTCCTGGAGTTCCCTGGCATGTGGGCAGAGGCAGTCTGGGTAAGAAGCATCTCGTGCATACCATCTTGGCAGCCTGGGCAAATCTCCCACAGTGTTTTCTGTCTTAAAGATCTCATGCTGTTTTGAGACCAGTACCTGCTGGCCACTCTGCAATATTTCTCTCAGAGATGAAGGGATTATCATTTTATTTTTTCTCAGGCTGTTTCCTAGGAACCCTGGCACAGAACATGGTCTACTGCGTTACATACCGTTTCAGCCCAGTAAAGCAGTCCCTGCTTTTGAGCTTACAATTTCAGCATAAGAGACAATGGGTCAAATACAGACAGAGCAGAGGGACAAACACAGATTAATGTTGTAGCTCATCAGTAGAATAAGTGCTGGCAAGGTTTTCAATTATCTATAAGTGCTAGAAGAATTGTAAAGACAGATGTGAAGAATTAGATGGCTATCTCTGAGTGTGTTTATAAAGCGACTCTTCCCAGTGAGAGAAAGCATTAAACCTATTTGAAAATACAACAATCAGGTGATGAACACTGGTATCGAATCTGCATTAGGCAAGAGCTTAATATTCAGGAAGGAGTGAGAGATGCAGGTAGAGCAGAGAGGTTACGAAGCCCACAAACAAGACGATGAACCAGCAATGTCTGGTACTCTAAAAAAGCAGGTGACTTCTGCAAGAACATCGAAGCAACAGGCAAGGAAAGGAATCTGGGCAGTAGCATGCTGAATATGTAAGGCACTGCATTTGATGCTCAGAAAAAGTACGTGAACTGACTTTAAGGCCATGAATTTCAGCTGGGCACATGAACAGGAATGGCTTGTCTTAGAGCTACAACACAGAAGACACTGGAAAGACACGTATAACTTGCGGCTAGATGACACACAGCCAACGGGTGTAAGGGATGGAGAGCGTAGTGGGAGTGTTTGTCCCACTTGCTTTGGCTATTCTCAGCATAATTTAAAGGGTCCAATTTTAGGTTCTTCTCAGTATCAAACTGGGGTCATAAAACTACTAATAATTTTGAAAATTTGGGGGAGAGCTCAACTAAATTTTAGAACATCTGCTCAAAATCCAAATCAGTTCTGCTGCTTAAGAGAATATAAGGAACAGCATATGCAAAAGAGAGAAAGCTAACTGAAGCAGAGAAATAAGGGGAAATAAGGGGAGTGACAAATACTTAAATTACCTTTGTACTGTTTTTATGCTCATCCTGACAACCATTTTGGATAGCTCCTTCCTCTATGCTGACATCACAGTGGGGAGCAAGGGTGGTACTACATGAAGGACAGGGCTGCAAGGAGACAAAAATATTTTAGCCACAAATGTTCTGATGTCCTCGTAAGTATTATGAAATTTGTAATTAAGTCCACTTGTATACTTGCAGCATGGTTAAAAGATAAACAAAGCTACAAAATGGGCAGCAGGGAGCAAAATTTAACTGGAACAGAATGCACCACTTCAAAAATAAATCACAGATTTTCTGTTTACTGAAGCTAAATCTAATCCAGGAGAAGTTTACTGGTGTAAGATCACAGAAACACTGTAATCACTGCATACTAGCAAGGCACCTCCCCAAGAAGAATAAAATATTCTGTAGTAAGAGAAGTCCACTTTTTTTTTGTTTCAAATCTGCCCGCAAAAGGATCTGAACATCATTATGAGTGAAGACTTAGCACAGCATGCAGCAAAATTTAAATAAAAGCACGAAATACCATGATGCATTATGAATAACAGTACAGCGAAATGGAAAGCAACAAATCTGAAACTAATAAAGGGAAACACTTTTTCATACAGCGCTCTAAGACCGTAGAGTGGAGTTCAGGCTCTCATACACTGTTGAACCCTAACACCCAGCAGATGTCACAAGAAACAAGGAACACAAAGCCATCAGGACCTGTAACAGTTGCAGGTTATACATTTTGGAAGCAACCTAAAATGTCACACTTCAGTTTTTATAACAACTTAACCCTTTAGAGTTAAAATACAATGATCTTAAGGGGAGTTCACCCCCTGTCTGTATCTTGCAAGTTCTTCATCCTTTTCTCCGATCCTGGCAACATACAGGAAGGATCCTGCATTGGACGGACCGTCTGTCTGATCCCCACTGGCAATTCCACTGTTCTGGAGACAATTGCTGTTACTTGCTGGAAATCTACTCATGGGTAGAGAGACACGAGTAACGGAGAATGACATACTGAATTTGGCGCACTAAATGGTGGTAGGTGGTCCACTAAACTTTTTGATAAAATTTCCCAACAAGGAACTTGAGCCTTTTCTCACAAACTCAACACCCCTTGTTCATTTTATCTGTTTACTTTGTACTCAGGAGGGACTTGTTCTAGCCTCGCTAGTCTTACTCTCCTGATCCAAAACCACAACAACTTCTGTCCTCAGGTTCACTCCCAATTTCAGAGCCCAGCATGTATGTCTTGTCAGAACTGACTTTTCACCCTTACAGTCTCTGGTGTCACACCTGAAATAGAGTAATGCAGGTTGTTTAATTTGCAGAATGTTACAGCACTTCTCCCAGCACACTCTTCCTGTGGCTGCCAATCCACCTAATCACTCAACAGTGCCTCTCAAAGGCTTTCATGAAAGCTGAGCCTCCTTAGCAGCCAGCAGCTCATCATATCTGCTATTCTTCAGGGGTATGGCCCAGTCCAGGGCACTGAAATTATGAATTTCTTAATTTGGCATCAGATAAGCAATTTATACCATGTTCTGAACTTGTACAGTCAGAACAAATACCAGCACACTTGGGGAAACAATGAAGTTGGTTTTCAAATGTTTTTCTTAAAAAATAATTTAGGACTAAATAGGATGAACGCATTGGGCACTTTGTGGAAAGCAATATGACAATGGGCTAATGAGCCTTCTGTGCTCCTACAGGGTTAGTCAGTAGATGGATCCATGGCAAAAGTCAGTTAGTGGTAACAAAACCCAAAACCCCTTAGCAAAAAGTAAAGAAAATATTCCCTGTTCGATCTTGCTAACAAATCAGCAAGACCACCTCAAATGCTTAGCTTCTGGGGTTAATCCAGAGGACAAAAACCTCGGAAAAGAAGCCCAACCTCTTGGGAAAAGGTGGAAGTCCATCTGACTTACCCCATGTGTTCAGGTCAACATCATTAACTTCATCCTCTGTTAGACATTCACACAAGCTCAGTGTGTACCTGACCTCATCATGATGAATAATACATTAATGCACTTTCAGCAAACACTAAGACAAGCAAAAGTACTTTCTGTTTTCATACCAAGAGATGATTAAGACAGTTTATGATTCCCTGTCAAGTAAGGGATTTCATAAAGTATGATAGGAAAATTAACAGATACCAAAACCACTTAAACATGATGCAGTGTTTTCATTAAAAAAAACAGTTGCTACTATAGATTTGCTTGTACTTTTTAGCCTCTATCGTCACCATTTTAATTATGCACATGCTTTTTATTGATATCCATACTCCAACAAGGTTTGCAATTAAATGAACTACAGATACATTGGAGGAGAGGAGGAAATACAGTTCCTTTCATGGATCAATTACTGTCGCATTCTCCTTCCTGACTTTCCTTAACAGCTCTTACCGGCTAGAATATCTGTTCAAGCCCAAAATGTGGCAGTTATCCTTTGCATTCAATATGGCCCCTTATACCACTTAAAACAAAAATATTTCAACTTGCCTGTAATTTTGCCCCTCCTACTTGGTCTCTTTTGGAGAGCTGGAGTAATCTCCTCCTACATTGACACTGTTTACAGCTTTGTATTTAAAACACTTGGCATGTAAGTCATGATTCTTTTGCAAATTATTATCTCCAGACCCTACCAGCAAGCTGCAGGCTTAAAAAGCCCTCCAAAACCAAACAGAAAACCAAACCATGGAACTGCAAAAACAAAACCCACTCCTTTTAACAAAAATCATACAAAATCTGTGATTTAACTGCACAGTTGTTCTTTGTGGAAATTCTTAAAATATACATTTTTATTTATTTATTTACCACTGTAAGGCCTGCTTCAGCCTGGCTGACATATCAAACATTCCTTAAAAACTTGACTCAAGACTTCTCAGTCCACAATCACTCCAATAACAAACTATGCAGCAGAGAGAAGGCTGGTTCACACCTCCACTCGTAAGCATGCTGTGGGGTTTGGAATACCTGTAGCTAGCTATGCTGTGAGAAGCAAGTACTCTTTGCATTCCTGTGCTGTAACACAGAACACATTTTAAGTAAGTGCTCAGCATTCACAAGATTGCTTCATCACTATGCTACACGCATTCTGACATGGCCTGTGGCACATTATACGGATGCTTATCAGATTGTAGGGAAAGCCAAATTTGGGGTCATTCAAAATTCACTCCAGCATCAGTGTATTTTGGGCAAGACAGGCACACTATCTTCAAAGAGTTGCGAGGTCTGCAGTGCTCACGGTGATGATAAAACTAAATACCTGCAAGCATAAACTTGATGCAGTAGTATTAGCACAACAGTAGATAGGGTATCCAAGAAGGCTGAAACTGAGCTGGCACTTGTCCTAGATGCTCTTCTGAAGCAGCTTCTTTTAGCTTCTCCTTCACTTATCTGGAAAGTTTGTACTTTTGCACTGTACAGTCAGTCATTTGGCATTTAAACAGCAATTAACACCCAGCCAAGACAGTCCCCAAGCAGAAAATCAAGGACTAGGCAGCAAACAAAACACTATGGCCAGCAGCATGACTCCATATCGTACGCTGGCTGCTCAGGAATAGCAGGGCATCTGTCTCCATGCTTCTGCAGAGTAAGTCACCCCATGTTCTATAAAATACTTACCATAGCTGATCCTTAACAACAGATCTCATTTTGGACTTGGATCATTTAAACAAGTACCACCACAAGTTAATACGTAATAAATTTCATCAAACCCCAGCTGCAGTCAGGTCAGTCTTGTACTTTGCTGTAGTTTCATTGTGCTCCAGTTAGAGCTTACTCTCTGTCTGACATTAACAGGCATCCTCGCTTTCTATCCAAACAGCACCCTTAGTTTTACTACTTTGCTTAATCCCTCCTCTCTCCGTCTCTCCAGCTTGGTAATGACTGCTCCACTTTGTACGTTCTTCTTCTTCACTATTTAAAATAAAGGAGTTTCTGCCCCTTACTGTCACATCTGTACCTCTTCATGGCCATGCACCGGGCAGCACAAACAAGCTTATTTGTGCAGATACCCACTGACATGTATTTTCCTGCCTTACTTTCTAGCACCTTCATTGAAAGAGAAGAGAGAGCTGGAAAGCTGGTGCCTGAGGGATGCCAAATATATTCTTTCTTACACGGAAGAAGGAATAGAAAAGCATTACCAGCAACTTGGATGCAGTCAAACCACACACAGTGCATATTTTGGGGAGGGATAAATATGTCTACAGCTGCTTTCTGCAGTCCTAGCTCTCTCTCCAAGGAGCTCGTTTAACTTTTTCTTTAGGCAAGCCTTCCTGCTGATTTCATTTGTGACCCAGTGTTCGTATTCTACAACTTATAACCGGGGACAGAGGCAGGGTAAAGGTGTCCTGCCCATGCTCTCCTAATCCAGACAACAAATATTATAAGGCATCAAAAATGGAGTAGCATTAGAAGTCACAAACACACACACACACCCATCAACTCTCTCAGCTCAATCTCAGACTGGTGTTGAAGAGACCCCCGGAGGACTAAACACTGAAGTCTAAGAACAGTGACCCACAAATGACCACCCGTGGCTCTGGCATTTGTGCCCACCTTGGGCAACCCAGGACAAGGAACTCTTAGCACAAATGAAAATAGAGAACAGACATCTGTTGTTTGGGAAATCTGTTCTGGGCTGGAAGATGGAGGATAACAGCAAAGCTTCAAAGCAATACACATTGTTTCACAGATTTCCTTGTCAAGAGATCTTCTGAGAGGTGTGAACATAACAAAATGTCATCATTTCTCTAAGCTGAATCCATACAAATCATTGCTCTCAGCTCCAGATATAGGTTTCTAGAGCAAACAGATAAAACACAACCCCATAGCCTACTCACGCATTTTCTCCCATCACACAAACAATCCCATTATCTTTTTGCAGGGATGTCTGGTCTACACCCATATGAAAAAATTCACAGGTACGTGAGCTGCAACACAGAGGAATGGCAGAAGCAATCGCAGCAAAAGCAGAAAACTGTAGAAGTTACAGTAGCTGCATAAAGCATATTCTTTATTCCCCCATAAAATCAAGACCATCAAAAAAGCAGCACTGACCTCTCAGTCCTGAAGTATATATAAAAAAATGTATATATGTGAAACCACCTTCAAAAGTTGTTCACCTTACCTTAGGGGTTGCTTGACAACTGGTGAGGCGTTTTACTTTGTAAGTATTTTCAGCCCTCAGACTAATTCTTGTCACTACATGTATATATATACACCTATACATACACATACATGCAAATCTCTAGAGCAGTGCGTAATCAAGGCTGTAAGGTTTCCCCATTCATCCATACATCTGTCCCTCAATTGCACAGTTTGAAATCTGTGCTGTTTGGCTTTGAAACAACAACTCACCTTAGGTTTTTCCACATGCTTGAGAGTCTTTGTCAAGTCACTGGCATTCTCGGCTGACGATGCTCCCTGTATTCTGGCCCCGTCTCCAGACTCCAAGCCAGGAAGCAATGTTTGTGAACAGCTGCAGTGGGGCTCCTTCACCTTCTGACCAGAGATCAGATAGGTCTTCAAACCTACCGAAAAAAGAAATGAACAGTCAGAACTGCAGAAAGACAAAAATAACTCTCCTTTGGACTTTTCGGATATGAAACACAGCAACTGTCAAAGCACTGTCAAGGCTCAGGAATACAGCACACAGAAAGACTGCCTGGGAATGACCACCAGGAATATAAAGATGCTCTGTGTGAAATGGTGGCAATTAGGACTGCCCAACATCTGCTGTTCCAGATACAAGGGACTAACACACGGTAACAGCCAGGACCTACACGTACTTTCTTTATTCCATTTTCACTCCCGTACTTCTGAAAAATAGAGCTACGACCTTATGTATTTGCTTCCAAGCTGTAATCTGAGCTCTTGCATTAACTCTTTACTTCTGGAAAGGATTTGCAGCCTGTTTTGCAGTGATATCTGTGTTAATATTCTACCTGAAAAACTAGCACATATTCCTCCACTTGTCAGAGATGTCGTGAAGATTGCTTAATGCTGGTAGCACAATGAGAAAGGAAATGGCGTTTAAGTGCTAAAATCCTGATGGGATTTCACATTTTTAAAGAACAGAATCAATCTCTCTCTCTTGCAAGTACTCCCACACACGCCCTCTGCAACTGCTGTAGGAACTGAAGCATAATTGGAAAGCAGATCTGATATTAAAGGCCAGGCTGGTAAATACCATGTTGTAACAAGCTGAGCTGTAATAAAAATCTGTTCAAAATGAAAAGATCTGAATTTTGTTTAGAATATCACTTATTTTACTTCCTTGTAACTTTGTGTGATGACCTTCTGGGTTATTTCTAGGCACGAAGACTGAGAAGGAGCTCCATATCACACTGCTTCCTGAATCCAAATGAGTTAGTTACTGCCACTGTATGGGAAAGCTCCCAGTCAGCAAGAAAGGGCACCGATGTGCTCCAGACAATGTGGAGGTCATCAGCTTGCAGAACTGGAGAGCGCCTGTTACTTTGTGGTACCAGAGGCTGTTGTCCTGGGTGTTTCTGCAGCTCGAAACTCATGGGATGACTGCTGGGTTTCTATTTGGGTCAGCTGCACAGCACCCCCCTTCACCCCTTTTACTGATAATTGTCACCCAGTTGCAGGCAGACATGTGACTGTCACAGCCATTGACTGGACTCAACTGTCTCCATGCATGGGATGAAAGCTGGAAATGAGTATGTCAAGTTGCAGCCCTTGGAAGAGGGCAGGTTTTGTTCCGTATGATAAGGTCATTCTCCCACAGCCTTCTTCACAGACAAAAAAATCATGTTCTATAAACCTTGTATTTTTTTTTTGTCCACAATATGTAAACACAGACAGTATTTCATCTGTAACCTTTCCAATAAAAATGTTAAGCGTACTAATAACAATTTCACATTTTCTCTGTTTACTCCACTAGTAATTTCAGCTCCACTTCTACAACCAACACAGAAACCCACAGCCGTATCGACTATTTCAACCTTGGGTTCAGAAGCTGCTTGGGAAGTTGTGGTGCCCTCACGTAGTGCTCCAAGCCCTGGAGCACCCGCTTGCATATTAGGGATGTTACACTAGAGCCAATCTTTATTTTTATATCATTTATAGTCACACTTGGATTTTATTTGGCAGTACTGCTTTCATAACCCCCTGAGCTGCTGCTGGCTTCCAGATGTAGGGCTGCCCCTTTAAAACTTATATTGATGGGGGCTGTCATTTAAGGAATTCACCACAATAAGCTTACAATTATATGTTTACTGTGGTAAAAGCTGGAACATTACGCTTCCTATTCCTATTTTTAACAGCTACCTTAAAGCAAAAGGATTATTTTACCACTCCTATTATTCCTCTATTTTTTTCTCTTAACAAACACAATCTCTTGAGGTTTTGTCTCTTTTAAAAGGCACTTTGAATGTCTTCTTGCGCTGCACAGCATAATTATTTTGTCAATCTGTTGCACACAGTAAAATTATCTCCAGTTTGAGCTCCTCACGGAGAAAAAAGGGAAAAGGCTATGGTATGCTGGGAACTGAAAACGTGTTTTGGAAAGCAGAATCCACCCTTACCCCAACCTGAAACTGCAGTGGGCTGCAACTCCTAAACCCTGCTCCCCACCAACCCCAGCCACTATCTCCATGGCGGCAGCCACAGCAGCTCGCACCCGCTCTGCCACACAGGCTCTAGCTGCAGGGTTTAATGTTGGCTATGACAGCTGCTGTTGGCAACAGGAACTATCAAAAACTCTTTATTCCCTCCTTGTGCTTCCCAGCCCCGCCACGTTCACTGAACAAGAATCTGCAATGTGAAATCAAACAAAGAGAAGTCAATGTCCTACAGAATCACAGCACGTGTCATAAGAAGTCAGCAGAGCTACTCCTAGAGCTGAATGCAAGGTCAGGACCTCAGGAAGCAAATAAGGGGAAGAAAAAAGGTTATTTTTGGAAAGCTTTGGAAAATCAGGAGGTGCAAAAATCCTTCATCTTTACAGAATTTTACTAAGATTGCCAACCTAATACTTGGTTTGTTATTAAATCTTTCTTACTATAGGAACGTTTAACTTGCTTTAGTATTCCTTGCAACACCCTAACACTTCACAAAGCAACTCCTACATTCAGTCTGAAATATTTGGGTATAAAAAGGGGTCATTAATTCAGTAGAACTGTATCGCTATAACTAAGATGTAAAATACAATATTATTCCTCCTTCTCCATCTCCAGTGAATTAGTACAATCAACAGTCTGTCATCTTCCATACAGTCGGTGCATGGAGTGAAAAAAACCCATTCCACCATGCAGCACGTTAAAAATCAATTAAGTAACACAGCAATATTAAATGAATAAGCCAACAAAGGAGGAGCTGCTATTTTATGTGAAAAGCAGCAAACAAGGTGTGATTTTTGGTGTGTTGCTGCGCAACGCTATAACTCAAGACATGGCAATGAAGAAAGCACTACGAGATGCTTATATTGCTATTTATAAAGGCAAAGCTCACCCTTTCTTCCCCTCCTGCCATTCTCAATCTTATAATCACTTCCTTCCCCTAAATTTATAAAAAAGAAATGCTGAAAAATAACACAACCTCAAACTGCCTGATGGCAAATCTCTGCTCTGGCAGGCTTTGTCCTGCAGCACATTGCTGCTTTTTCCAGAGATGGCTCTCGGAAGCAAAGACAGGGAACTGGCCACAACCCACCCCCCAACATACCAACTGAACATATACAGTACTTTCTGCTCCAGGGGAAAAAAGTGAGCCATGTTGTTTATCCTGGAGAAACACAAGCCATTTCCTTCACTTGTCTTCAAGGTCTGAGAATCTGTAAGCGTTATGAAGAGTAACTGCTCCTGCTCACTGAGCCAAAGCACTAATTTTTTTAATTCAACTATTTTGAATATTGAAATGGCAGCGCTTGTAAAGTGCATTTTTGACAAAATAGTTAATAATTAAGGTGAGGTCTCTGTAGAAACACAGTGGGTTTATTACTCTTACTACTCTTGAATTTTCAAAGCATTAGGAAATTTCTGGCTCCTTTTTCAATTAGCTTTTCATCAGTGATATTCCTCTGAACTTGTAAAAACAGAAAAGCATCCTAAACACTAAAAAAATACCCCTAATAACAATAAAAAAACCCATATGCATGCACTCACACACAAATTATTTTCTGTATACACAAAAATAAACAAAAGTATAAATAAAGCTGTATATAAACATCCCAGTCTTCAACCTGATTCTGGTAGCGTGAGAAAACCAGTCACTGCAGAGCTAATGGAACATTCAGTAATGTGGGTGCGGGCAGAGGCCGGAGCTCCCTGCCCACGTGCTGCCTCCCTGCCAGACCCCAGGTGATATCAAACCAGGCTGGGCTGGAGCCACTCTGCCAGCTTCAACTGTAGCTGTGTTTATGGAGAAAAACTATCACTCGTAATTGGCAGGAAGTCACTTGCTGGGAAGGAACAGGGAAAAGGAGAGAAAAGATGTTCCGGTCTTTCAAGTCCTTAATCAAGTAATTTACTTCCTTTCTTTCAGCTCATTTATCCTCATGACTTCAGTACTGAAGATGCTGTTATGCCAATCTAATCTGATTTTTACATTAGTAAAGGGCATTCCTCTATGCATCTTTTGAAGATGAGATATCTTCTACAGATCTCAAGAAATAGTGGGTTAATGCAAATACTCGTAAGCAATTCTTTGGTAAAACAAGATACAAGTTTCAACTTTTGATGCTTCACTTGCCTGCAATTGAAACTTTTTAGCCCTCTATTGATAACTGACAGGAAAATTACCTTCTCTCTGGCAAACTGAATGCATCATACTTCTCACATCTCCAACAAACTTCAAATGCTTTTGAAACCCTTTTAGCACTGATTCCAAGAGACACCAAACAACAATGGCAATATTTCAGTTATGGTCTTACTGATTCATTTAATAACAATACAATCCCATTCTTATTTCATATCCTTGTTTCTCACTCCATTAAACCCTTCCCCTTTTTCATTGCAGTACATGGAAAGAGCATTTAACAGGTGATCCCTCTTCAGAACTACTTCCCAGTACAGAGCCCTCTGTTCTGTAAGACTAGCAATGTTTCCTTGTATTGCTCTAATAAAATCCAAATTGTATGGATTATCCCCCCTTTAACCACACACCATTATACTAATGTTTCTCTACTGTTTATCTTTCCATCATTTCCCTTAAAGTTCACATACTTCAATCATTTAATCGTACCTCTTTCCAAACAAGTATATATTTACAAGCCAACTGAGCTCCATTTTCACAACCCTCTGTTTTGCAGTATCTTACCTCACAAAATTTGGAGTTTGCATGAAAACTTTCATCATGAGAACCACAGTGACTGTCACTTGCACTGATTTTTAGACTGCCACTCCCACATAAGGGCAAGAATTACCTTCCAATTAGAAAGTAATTCTAATCACCTGCCACAGTCTGCCATAAGGAGCAATGTTAGCTATTATCTTTCAACAATTTAACATCTCATTTTATGTAACTCCGATACAAGTAACTAGCAGTGGTGTAGCAAGCTCCTAAG